CCGCAAATACTGTGATCAAATTAGAATCATCCTTAATTTTATTTTTAATTTTTTTATTAAAGTAATCTCTAACTTGCAAGTATCTGTAAAAGTCCTGCTTGTCCAGGCCAAATGTATCTGATAAGGTCTGATAACTCATAAAGTGTCCATTAGAGGTCACCGAACTGAATGATGTGATTCCTCTCCAAACCCACTGTTTAAATCTCTTATCTAGTGTACACGGTTGAAAGTCCGGGTCGAATGCTATCCAACTTAATATCCCATTATGCTTTTCTAATTGTAATTTCTTCAGTATTCTAAACCATAACTTCAAAGAAAACACGGTCCAAGTACTCAATCTACTGTAGTACTTTTCTGCTTGATTTTTATTACCAAGTAAGGATTGTAAAGGTTGATCTATTTGTGTAGTTTCTAGTGTTTTCCATTTAGACTCATAGCTTTGTATACACCAACATAGTAAAGGTTTTAATTGTGCAGCAAAAAAATAGTCCTGAAGACATGGAAGGGCTCTTCCACCATTTTCTTTTCTCAATTGCAGTGTCTTGAACTTTAACCTAGGTCTTCTACTATTCCAGATAAACCTTGAGATCATCCTATCCCATTCATTAAATTGTTTTTGGGGTATTTCCAGAGGCAATGATTGAAAAAGATAAAGTAACCGTGGAACCACGTTCATTTTAATTGCTTCTATCCGGCTGCTCATGTCTAATGGTAGGAGAGTCCATTTTGCAATATCAGATTTTATCTCTTTATAAATGGGGCCGTAGTTACTGTCAAAAAGTGTTGACAAGTCTTTTGTTAAGTTTATTCCCAAATATTTTAGTGAAATAGAATTCCATTTAAAATTATATTGTTTTTTCATTTCTAAATTTGGTCTAAAATTGTAAGTAAGAGTTTGCGTTTTTTGAATATTTATCTTATATCCAGAATAGAAGTTAATTGTGTTTAGGAGGGACATTAATTTAGGAATACTAGATTTAGGATTTGCCAAAAACAGGAGAACATCGTCTGCATACATACAGATCTTATGTTCCTCTTTTTTAATTACGATCCCTTTTATTTCTGGCTCTTCTCTTATTGCTTGGGCCAGGGGTTCGATAAACAATGCAAATAAAGTAGGACTTAAAGGGCAGCCCTGGCGTGTCCCTCTTTCCAAGTAAATAGTTTTGGACAGATGGCCATTAATTTTTATTTTAGCTTTTGGTGATAGATATAGCCCTTTAATGCATTCAATAAATTTATTGTTAAAGCCAAATCTTGCCAGAACCTGATACAAGTAATCCCATCCAACAGAATCAAATGCTTTTTCAGCATCTAGGCTTAACAACATTGCACTTATATTTTCTGTTGTAATATGACTCATTATTTGTAATGTTCTCCTTAAGTTATCCTGCGTCTGTCTGTTTTGTATAAAACCAGTTTGGTCTAAATCTACTAATTCAGAAATGACAACCTCCAGTCTCTTAGATAATATAGAAGCAAATAGCTTGTAGTCCACATTTAAGACAGAAATTGGTCTGTATGAGCTACATTCATTCTTATCCTTTCCCTGCTTTGGAATAATTGAAATCACAGCTTCCTGCCAAGATTGTGGAATTTCTCCACCTCTTAGTACATAATTAAAGCATTTGAGGAGCATGGGTGTTATTTGAGGTTTGAATGTTTTATACATCTCTGATGGATATCCATCAGTTCCTGGTGTTTTATTTGCTTTCAGTTTTGATATAGCACTATCCAATTCTTCTATAGTTATTTCAGTTAACAATGCTTTATTCTGTTGTTCCCCTATTGACGGTAGGTCTAGTGAATCCAAAAAACTCTTTATAATCCCAGTTTCTGCTCTAGTTGGTTGGGTGTATAAGTCTTTGTAATATAGTTCAAAAGATTTCTGAATGTCTTTTAACTCAGTACACACCTTTTGAGTTTTAGGATTCCTTATTTTATAGATTGTGTTTTTAGACTGTTGTTTTCGTATCCTCCAGGATAATAATTTCATTGCTTTAGGTCCTATCTCATAATATCTTTGTTTAGCGAATTTACATTGTTTTTCTATTTCTTCATCATATATTTTATTTAGGTCTTGTTTAATTTTATTTAATCTTATCAATATTTGTGGGTCTTTTTGTTTAATATGTTTTGTTTCCAGATTTTTTATTTCCTTTTGAAGGTTTAATAATTTTTTCTGTTTTTCTCTTTTACGATAAGCAGTGAGGGAAATAATTTTACCACGAATTACTGCCTTCGCAGCATCCCATAAGGTACTCGGAGACACTTCTCCATTGTCATTGCTTTGGATATATAGATCAAACTCAGTCTGAATTTGTTTCTGTATAGTTTTATCATTCAAAATTGCTGTGTTAAGTCTCCAGAGTGTCTCTTTTTGCTGGTTATCTAAATATAAGGTTAGATATACCCCGGAGTGGTCAGAAATATCTCTAATCCCTATACTACAGTTTTTAATTCTATGTCTATCTGAATTATTCATGAATAAATAATCAATTCTTGAGTACATTGCATGACATGTTGAATAGAAGGTAAACTGTTTTTCCTTAGGGTGAAACTCTCTCCATATATCGAACATGCCAAGTTCTTTAAGCAGTCTTTGTATCATTTTAGCATTTGAAGTTTTCTTTCTGTTGGGACCAGTTGCATCAAGTCTGGGTTCAATGTGAACATTTAGGTCCCCACCTACTATCAAAGTACCGTGTGACTCTGTGACTATCAAATTAAATATTTTCTTAAAGAATGTTTTGGTACTTCCTGGTGGAGCATACACATTAAATAATGTAATTTCTTTATTATCTAATTTCCCCCTAACTAAAATATATCTACCCTCTTTATCTTTAATTTCTGATATAAGTTCAAAGTTCACTGAATTAGGAATCAGAATAGCTACCCCCCTCTTACGTCCTGATTTATGCGATGAATAGAAAGTATTTTGAAAGCCAAATCTCTTTAATTTCTCGTGTTCCTGAGGTGATAGGTGTGTCTCCTGCCAATTAATTATTTGTATTTTTTCTTGTTTCATTTTCGCAATTATCTTACTTCTTTTAATTGGACTATGTATGCCATTGACATTCAACGTGACTAATTTATATTCCTGACCACGCATATATATTCATTTTAAACCGCTCACTTTTATAAAACATTTCCAACAACAACCTAACAAACAAAGTATGAACATTCATAACAAGACAAACTGTATGAGAAAAAAGGGCTTCCATGTCCCAGGTTATAGTTATAACCTTCTAGTTGAGAGAATGTCCCTGTCACCGTCAAGGGCCTCTCTTTGGTGCAAAAGAAAAGTTTATCAGAAAAATCTGCTCTTGCTTAATCGGTTTCTCTATTCATCCTTGGTAGGCTCAATAATATAATCAAACTTAAACGAAAATATAGGAGATAAAATAACTGCTCCATCGATTGCTTATTTTTAATCAAAATATGTTATTGTCCGAAGGGAGTAACGCGTCATATGCCTTAATAAGCATTCAGCTCCTCAGTGTTCGGTTAAAGGCTTAGTAATAGTATCGTCCAAATGTCTTTTATGCAGTCACTTACGTTATTTCTCGGTGAGAATAATATATTCACTTTTCAGACGATTCATGTGCGACGCGATGAAAGTTCTGTAACTTCTCCCTAATCCGTTCTTGGTCCACTGATTTGCGATGACGTTTTGTGCTTGCTCTTTCCCAGGTAACGTTAGGGAGACTTCGGCGTTTCGGTTCTTCGGGGTCTTGTTCCACATTTCCCACAGAAAATCCTCTTTTCTTCAAATCTTTTGCAGCTTCTGCCGCGCTCTCGTAGATCTGGGTGCCATCTCCAAAGAAAACTTTCAGTTTGGCCGGGTGTGGAGTTTGGAACCGAATCCCTTTTATTTTGAGCTCTTTTAATATCCCCGCGTATGCCTTTCTTTTCTTTAATATCTCCGGAGGATAATCGTGGTCAAAATAAATCCTCTTTCCTTCAAGTCGGACTTCTTTCTTTTTCCATGCAGTGTGTAGCACCTGTTCTTTTACTCTGTGTTGTAGAAAGCAAATTACCAGTGATCTCGGCGGTGCATCGCGGGGGGGCTTCGGGGCAAGTGCTCTGTGGCATCGCTGTATACCGATCTCCAAGTCTGTTAGTGGCAGGTCGAGCTCCGTTTTAATAAGTCTCGTTACGAACTCCATCAGGTTGCTTCCCTCGAATCCCTCCGGGATTCCGTAGATACGGAGGTTATTGCGCCTCGAGCGAGCTTCTAAATCGGTTAACTTTGTTTGCAACTCTTTCTGACTCTCTAACATTCTAAAGAGAGCGTCACCAGCCGCCGCGTCCCATTCCTCAATATCAGTTATACGTTCTTCTGCTTCAGTCATTCTGGAGTTGGCGGCTTGTAGATCGTCTGAGAGATTTTTAAGTTTCTGATTAATTTCCCCCCTAAATTCGATCAGCTCCTTACGCATATCTTCCCGAAGAGAGAGTCGAAAGTCATCCATATCATTTTTAAGATCCGCTCTGAATGCTCGGATGTCATCTCTAATAGCACTTATATCCGAGTTAGCTGCTTCCACGTTGGCCTTACCAGCACCGCCATTATTTTCGCGGCTCTCTTCACCGCCGTCAGTATCATCGGTTATTTCTCCTTTTTCCCGCTTCGAGCCTACCTTGTTTTTACCCCTTTTGTGCTTCTCCCCTTCCATGTTAATTTTCAGTTTGTCTTCGTTTTCTTGCGTGAATCTTCTAGGGGATTTTGAATCAACCGATTAAGAGAGGTTCTTTCACACAGCCATCAGCTTCGCCGCCACACCGGAAGTCCCCTTCTGTCATCATTTCTGATGAGTTTTTTTTGACTCTGTTGAACATAAAAGAAGATATTTTTAATAATGCTGAAAACCTGAACATTGACTTCCATAGTAGTTATTTTTCCTGCAATAGAAGTCAATAGCTAGAGGTTTTCAGCATTATTGAAAATGTCTTCTTTTGTGTTTAACAGAAGAAAGAAACTCATAACGATTTCAAATATGCAGAGGGTGAGTAAATGATGGAATCATTTTTATTTTTACTATTAATTTCACTGTTAATTTAAGTTATTGAGTTTAATTTAAAAGCCTTACAAAAATACTTTATTCATTCATTCGTTTATTTTCTTTTCGGCTCAGTCCCTTTATTAATCTGGGGTTACCACAGCGGAATGAACCACCAACTTATCCAGCATATGTTTTTACGCAGCGGATGCCCTCCCAGCTGCAACCCATCTCTGGGAAACATACATACATACTCATTCATACACTACGGACAATTTAGCCTACTCAATTCACCTGTACCGCATGTCTTTGGACTGTGGGGGAAACCATAGCACTCGGAGAAAACCCACGCGAACGCAGGGAGAACATGCAAACTCCACACAGAAATGCCAACTGACTCAGTCGAGGCTCGAACCAGTGACCTTCTTGCTGTGTGGTGACAGCACTACCTACTGCGTCGCCAAATTACTTTATTATTTGATATAAAACTATATATTTTTTATTTATTAAAATAATTTCCAATTATTAAAAAGCCTTTTCAGTGTCAGTTTTCAGCCAAATGCATCTAGAATTTTCTGTTTCAATCAACAAGCTTCATTTCAGTGCTTCCCTAATCTTGCTATAAGAGGGTCTTTTTGCATTGCACAACTCAAAAACAAGGCGGCAAAACATCTAATTATTATAAACATTTTAAATTATAAACATTTAATTACTATAAAAATAGAACCAAACCCTTTTCCCCAAATGTCATTATTATTAACAAAATTATTGTTATCAGACATTTATAAAATACTTATTTAACGTGTTGAAGCAACTCAATTCTTAAGTTTATTGGGGGCAACTTGACTGTTTTATGTTCAACTCACTTACATTTATAAAAACAATCAAGTTAACCTAATTCTTTACTTTTTTATCATTTCTATTGTTAAAACATTCTCACATTTCGCAGGGTTGTAAAACCCAACAATGTTTTAACACTACACATATATTTACAATATTTTTTGTTAATTCGGTTTAATTTCTGAATGTTAAGTAATCATAAGTGGTAGTTGTAGTTGTTGTTGTTGTTATTAATAATGCTGTTGTCATTTTCACTGACATTATTATTATCATTATTATTATTGTACTATCTATCTATTATATGTTTTATTTAAACCTTTATTATTCTTGCTTCATTTTTTTGAATTGTTGTATATTTTTATGTTCTCTTGTGTATATACTTTGTTTGACTTGTTCACCCAGTTACCTTTACATGCGCGCGCACAACAGGATTGTTTTTTTCAGCAGGGTGTTTTATGTTGATTTTCTCTATAGAGACTTTTTGGATCACTTGTTTCTATTTTAAGATGACCAGATGGTTTTAGTTTCAGTTGTGTTTGGGAATTGTGACTAATTTTACACTCTTTCTTTTCAGACACCCCTTTTCTGGCCGTGAGGGACCCATCTCGAATGGCTCTGGCTTTATAATAAGTAGTGATGACCTGATAGTGACAAATGCCCATGTGGTCGCCAACAAGCGTGGTGTTCGTGTCAAACTGACCAATGGTGAGACTTACAGCGCCACAGTCCAGGATGTGGACCAGGCTGCAGACATCGCCACCATCAAAATCAATGTTAAGGTACAGATGGAGCTTTGAGGTTGTACTGTTAACATGTGTAATCTTTTGGGGATATTTAATTTTTTAATTAGGGCTGCACCGATCCTGATACTTGGATTGGATATTGGTTCAATACTGCATATTTTTACTGCAAATCCCATCTTGCACGTGCTCTATATTCTGTGTAATTTATAAGCAAACAAAAGCCAGAAAGGTAGCCTTTTATAAGACAGGAGAAAGTTGTCTTGTAGGCCTACTGTATCCCAAATGTTTTGAAGCCATTCTATAGTTTAATGTGAAGTACAGATCAATATTCACATGCTTAAATTCATGTTCAGTTCTGCGCTTCCCTCCGCTGCGCCTGTCAATCATTCTCAGTTTATTTACAATTCAAACTGCGTGTCACGTTCATGACAACATGAAAAACTTTCTCCAACACTATTTGTACCTGTTAATTTAAATAAATATTAATTTATTATATTACATTATATTAATTTATTATAATATAATATATATTATATTGGTTCATTTCGACCTGAAACGACAAGTTCATTTCTGTTTCTAAATCATGTAGCTGTTAGATCAGCAGATCGCATTCGCAACACTGGAACTAGTGGGTTATTACCTGCTCTTCACACACAAAGTAGGCCTACCTGAAATTTAAAACTAGAAAAGGCTCAATAATACATTGGACAGATCCTTAACACACTGATTTCTTCCCTTTTTACTGCTGTTTTGGATTGGAAGCTGTCTCAGTGATGCATCAAGCACTTCATTCACACACCGGCTGATGTGACGTGTGCCGCTCTGTAAAATTATTCTGTAACATTAAAAGTTTCTGTTTTCTCATCCTTCCGACTGAGTTTATTCTTTCGAGGGGAATACTTTTAGGATAGTTTGTAAGCCTGGCTCATTGTGGTCAAAGTTGTTGATTAAATTAATAAAAGTGAAACTGACAATCACAATATAGATTTTCATTAACAGAAAATTATTTAGCCTAGTACCGGCTGCTCTGAAAACTGTGAATATTTGACTGTAATTTTATTTATATCAATAGTTTATTTAAGAGACCAGTTTGTGTTTTGATTAGAGTCAATAGTGGTAGCCTGTTGCAGAGTTCAAAGAAGAATCTTACTATTAAAAAAGGAAACATAAGCTGGACCACATCACCATAGAAACTGTATTATGCTTAAATAAATGGCACAGTATCAGGATCGGATCTGTATTGGTCGATACTCAGAATTTTGGGATCGAAATCGAATCAGTCCCAAAAAGATGGTATCGGTGCATCATTATTTTTATTGAGTCATAGTTTAATATGGTAAGAACAAGGACTTATTTTATTTTATTAATTTACATTTTTAGTAAAAGGTCTTTATCAAATGAGTAATTTCTTTTTTAACTTTGTTCATTTAAGAATTGAGCTTAAAGAATCAAAAACGTATCACGGTTAGTACATTAAAAGTGTGAGGTCAATATGATTTTAATGTTTTTTATGGCTCTACATTAACTTTTTTGATCACCAGCCTATATGGCTAGTAGTTTTTCAACTTTACTAGCCACTCGCCATTTTCACTTTTGTTTTTGGGAAAATATATTTGCAAAATTACTTGATTTAGATGTGTTGTGTATGACTTTGCTCAATGAGCATGAGCGGTAGTGGTTTCATGGTGTTGCTTTGTAGTTATTTCAGGGCTCAACATTAAGGTTGTACCAATTTTTTCTCTGACCACACTGGAAAATAGATAAATAAATAAATAAATATTTCTTAGCCAAAAATGTTAAATAATTTAAAAATTTCAAAAACTAGCAAAATATATGTTTTAATATGCACACACTTTTTATTAAATAAAACTAAACTAACAATTATTGTCATGTAGCCTGTCTAAAACTATGCAAAGTAGTCTGTCCTAGCTCCAAGACCAAGGTCTCAGATCAGCAGTTAACTATACATTAAATTTAATCTATTAAATCAATGTTACTGAAAAGAATGATAATTAAATCATATTAACAAAAAGAAAGCAGGTGAAAAACATACCGTGTGCAATAATGAAAGGATGATCAAACGCACACAGTTAACATTAGGCCCATTAATAATCTGTTCAAAGATTGTTTAAAGCTGAAGCTGCAACTGCTGCTGCATACATAAAATACCTTCTTTTTTAAAAATCTCGAGCTCTTGAAAATGGTGGATGTGTATCACTTTTTGTCAAGTCTATTTTAAACAGAACCGATCGCAGCATTGTGTTTCCGGTCAAGGTTGCTTCACGCAAGGAAATGGGATCGTGCACGCTTTTAAAAAATTGCGCGCGTCACATAACATTCTGTATTTATCTGCTTTCTTTTGCTTGCGTGAACACAGTTGTTTTTGTCAGTCGGGCTGCTTCTCATTTCTAGAGGTTCATCCTTATTGTTGAACCCTACTTTTAAAAAAAATACAATTTAAAAATGATTTTCGACCAGCCAAAGTGGCTAGTGGGAGTGGCTGTCTAATCCGCCACAGCTAAAGTCTACCTGCGGTTGGTGGATGTTAATGTCAAGCCCTGGTGTTAACCCATTAATCTGTTTATACTGTATTTAGGCTACATACACACTGTAATATTTCAGGAGGAACGGCCGCATACAAATATGGAAATAAACTCGAAATTGTGATAACCTTAGTGACATTTGGTTTTGTATCCTCAGATTTTTAAACGCAGTAATATTACAGCAACTACAGAATATTATAGTCAACAATTTTAGGTAAACCAACAGTAACAGAGGAGGCTTTTATGTTTGGAACGCCATTTTTGCAATTGATTTTTCACATTTTTCTTTTACCACAGTTCTAGTACATGGCCATATAGTCTGACATAGTGTCATAGTGTTCTCTGTCTTGTCCCAGAATCCTTTACCAACGTTGCGTCTTGGCAAGTCATCTGATGTGCGTCAAGGTGAATTTGTGGTTGCCATGGGGAGCCCCTTTTCTCTTAAAAACACCATCACATCTGGAATTGTCAGCTCTGCACAGAGAGGCAGTAAAGAACTGGGTCTCTCCAACTCCAACATGGACTACATCCAGACGGACGCTACCATAGATGTAAGAGCACTGGAAACTGGGTGGTGTTGCATGCAAAAAAAATGTATGTCATCATTTAATGAATTGCATTCCATCACTCAATCACAATTCTGCTTTACAGTTTGGAAATTCAGGAGGGCCTCTCATAAACCTGGTGAGTCGCTGACATTTACTCAAAAAACTGCTTCTGCCTTTTGGTTTAAAGGGTCATGAAACACCAAAACACATTTTTGAGATGTCAATAGTCATATATATGTCTCACGCTGCTAAAAACACTATTAGGACACATATTTAACAATAAAAGTGAAGAATTGGTTGTTTTTGCGTTATTTCAAACAAATTCGTTCTTCCGGTTTGAAAATGAATTTTGAAGCTACGTCAAGGCCACGAGCTCCTTGTGTAAATTCCAGCATGGAGACTGGCTGTCTGTATCGGCGGGTACAATGTGACGTCTTTGAGCTTTCATCATTAATTCAAGAGAAAGACGAACCAATCAGCGCACTCTATTGTGAATGAGGTGCAGCTTTATTAATATGCATGATAGCTTCAAAAACTACCTGTTACAGTATTCAGAGAGACGCCACGTTGTGTTGCTAACCGTAAATAAAACAAGTGGAAGAAGAAGAATTGTTCAGAGACATGGGTCGTCAGTGTTGTTTATAAACGTGCCACAATAAAGGTTTTGTTTTCATTTTCCCGCAGTGAGAAAGGACCCATATTTGTGGACTACAGTGGTCTTCTAACACGCAACAAAAATGTTTGTAAGGAACATTTTTACCCGAGAACTTTTTGTATTATAAATGGTGAAATCCAGATTTGCCACTCGTCTTCTTATAAAAAAAATCGCAAATCCAGTTCGTGTTGATTGTCCTGTCTCTACGGATTTGGTAAGTAAGCAATTGGTGTACCTTGTTATTCAGATGGCGAAGTAGGCCATTAAAACTACACTCTTCTAGCAGTTCCTCGGATCCAATATGTCGTTTGTCATGGGGGCACGCATGAAATGTTCTTGAATGAAAATGAAAGTGCCAAACTGCAGTTAAAGTCGACAAATTAAGAATGAAACTCCCCAAAATTACATGACACTCCAGAAGAAACATGGATAGCGTGGTGACACAATGACGTTAATCGTATTATGTGCTTTAACATGTAAAACGGGATCATGAAATAAACATTCAAAAAGCAACTCATGTAAACACCTTAATCATATTGTTGTTTTAATCAGATTAAGGCAAATAGTTAGATTACTGATGTCCACAAAATCATTGCTTTATCTGTTAAACTGACAAGTGTAACACAAACTACTCTCCTGTCTTCATTTGGAGTAAAAATTCCAAGTAACTCAACACAAGCAAAGGCAATTGTAGGCATAATAGTAGGAGTATTAGGGTAGGAGTATTTATAGCCACAGACATGCAACCTTTTTCAGGGGTAGAAAACTCCGGTTTTAGGCATTTAATTAGTGTGCTAGAACCACAGTACGAAATCCCAAGTAGAACGTATCTCACAGCTATGGTGGTACCCTCCTTGTACAATAATGTGAAGGAGAAAGTTATCAGTGCACATTTAGTAGTTGACTACAGATTGCTGGACCTTCAGAGCAACACAGAGCTTCATGACTGTCATATTAAGAACGTGAATTGTTTTCAAATGTTCATCAATATTGTATTGTACTGACCATACTCTGGCCTTATGTAATAAACTGATGTGTCATGTTTGTACTCTTCAGGATGGTGAGGTCATCGGCATTAATACCATGAAAGTGACAGCAGGGATTTCCTTCGCTATTCCCTCAGACAGAGTCCGTCTCTTCCTTGACCGATCTGCAGACAAACAGAGTAAGAATGACCTCACAGCTGCTTGCTTTTGTCTGTGACAGCATTTTTTTTCACTGACAGATGGGTATTGGGTTTTTTTTTTAGACTCTTGGTTCGGAGAATCGGGATGGAAAAGGCGTTACATTGGAGTGATGATGTTGACTTTGACCCCCAGGTGCCAAACACTTTTATTACAATTTTACAGGAGAGCAAAATTCATACATTATGGAATCTACAGATTTTTGTTATATGCCACTAGATTTGGCTCTTAGAAATTCAAGTGCTGGAATACCTGGAAAATTGGCTTGTTCTGTTGAAAAGTGCTTAATTTATCAAGGAGAATTTGTATGCAATTTTCACGCCCCAAAAATAAAAATGTTTGTGAATTTTTGTGACAATTTAATGCAAAAATACCCACACAATCTACCGTGATTCCGAAGCAGTGATTTAAATGATATGAGAAGTAGCCAATCACAGTCAAACTTGTTTAGTTTTACCTGAAATGTAAGGGCGGGACAAAGGCCTTTCTGTGTTGCAGTGACAGAAAAAAACTACTCAAAAACAAATGTATTATGAGAATAATGCTTTTCAGATGTTTTTACTATGTTATTAGCAAGAGTAATTAAACCGTGGACATACTTTCTGCCATTTCAATGATCTACACTGTAAAAAAAAAATCATAAAAAAAAGGTCAAATGACTGGCAGCTACGGCTGCCAAACAAAAACCATAAAATTACAGTAAAATTTCTTTGTTTAAATAAAGTGCAAAAAATAATAAATCTACAGATATTGTCATTAAAATTTTTACAGAAAAACACTTATTTTACAGACTTTTCCTAGATTATTACTATCAAATCCATTTAATAAAGTAACACAATAAGAGTTTTACAGAGAAACACTGTTATTTTACAGACTTTTCCTAGATTATTATGATCGAACACTATCAATAAAGTGACTGCACTAAAAGTTCAAGAGAAAACAACGCTATTTTTTTACAATTAAACGCCTTTAATAAAATGCCAAGACACGCTTTTGGTCGTAATTTAACTGTTTTATTTTGGATCAAAAAAGTTTGGAAAAAACATCAAGTGAGATACAACTGATTAAAATTCTCACAACTATAACATTACATTTTATTGAATAGTCTTACTTTAAAACATATAGAGGTTTACGTTGTATGAAATGATTCAGTTCCAAATCTTAAATGAAATGGAACTGTAACGTTAAGGGGACGTTGAGAAAGAGGTGCAGATTCAAATGCAGGTTTATTACACAGAGATGGTCAGGCAAACAAGTCAACACACGGGCAAACTGCAAACAGATGTATGCAGTGAATCCAGAGTCATGGTCAAATAACAAGCAAATGATCAGTCCTAGCAGCAAACAACGTAAACAATTTACAAACAAAGCAAGGCAAAAGAAGAGAACCGCATCATAATGTTCACAGTAGCAGTATAACAAGACTAAGCAATTGGTGCGTGCGTTTGTGCTGCTTTTAAAGTGCATGTAATCAGTTCATAACGATCCTCCGACTATGTGTTTGCAATCAGCAGAATCTGAAACAGGTGTATGTGAGCACTCTTCGTGTGTTACTTTATTAGATGGATTTGTTCGTAATAATTTAGAAAAAGTCTGTAAAATAACAGTGTTTCTCTGTAAACATTTTAATACAAATATCTGTAGATTTATTACTTTTTGAACTTTTTTTCAACAAAGAAATTTTACCTTAATTTTATGGTTTTTGTTTGGCAGCCGTAGCTGCCAGTCATTTGACTTTTTTTTTTTTTTTTTTTTTTTTTACAGAGCAAGTAATTACAATTTATTACTTTAATTTTACGGAATTTTAAATGTACTTAAAAAACAGGAAAAAACACTGTAAATAATACATAATTTTTTTTGTAAAAAAAACAGACAAATTGCTGTAATTTGTAATTACTTATAGTACATAAAATAACAGTCAAGCCGTTAACTTACAGATAATGTTTGTAATTTTTACCAACTTTTGAATATAATTTAAAATAACAGAAAAAATACTGTATAAATAATACTGTAATTTCCCTGTATGAAAAACACAAATGTCAGTAATTTGTCTTTAATAATAAAGTACCTAAAATAAAAGTCAAACGGTTAATTTAGAGAGATTGGTTGTCATTTTACTAAGTTTTGAATATAATGTGAAATGACAAAAAATTACTGTAAAAAATTTAAGGATATTTTCTGTAAAAAAATTTTTTTACAGTGTACACACACATTTTGCTCTCTTCTCTTCACTCTGTTCTTCTGACTTGTCTGTCACTCTACTGAATGTTGGTGTGGAAATGCAGGTATTGCTCAATTACTCATTTCTGCAAACGTATCAAGCGTTTTATTGTAACATGAGAGCGCAGTCATGTACATTAATCATAAAAACAGATATGCGAGCTCTTAAATAGGCTTTTTCAAATTAACTGCAAGTCCTCTCATCATCTCGTGTGTGTGCTCAGACTGTATACAATTGCGATCTCCTCAATATTAAAGTAGAAATTATTTATCTTTGCTCCTTGACTAAAAAAAGTATTTGGATTACAGACTTTTCATTAGGCTGTATCATCAAGTAAACCTTACTTTGAGCAAAGTTGGGACTTTTTATATTTCTTTACGACAAAAGAATTATGCTAGAAATGTTTCTGTTTGAGGTATTTGTGGGATTTATACATTATAGCTGTATTCTGATCTGTCTTAAAGCATCACTGAATTGTACAGGCATTACAGGTCAAAGCAATCTGCTGTTACATTTATCATAATAAACAATAAGGCTCTTCAAACACTGCTTTAAGAAATGCAGTGTTGTCATATTTCAAATACCTAGAGTTAAACAAAGTCATTTGCTTTATTATTTTATTACTGACAGTGTACTTGTCTTTTTTTGTAAAATTATTTCAGTTTAAGATCAAGTGTAAAATAATATTTCCATGTGCTGTACAGCTATTTAAGAAACAAATTTGCCATATTGTAAAGACGATGAGCAAATAAGAAAAATAGTGTAAAATATGTAAATAAAAGGCTAAATTTAAATCTTTTAATCATATATTTTAATTAAACCTTTCAAATAGGGGTGTCAAAATGAATTGTTTCTTTGATGCACACGCGGACAGTTCGGTATCAGTTCTGTAATAATCATAACCGATTATTGTGTACTGACGTCATTTATCTCATATGTGCTCTGTCGCGAGGGAGGCGAGCGCGAGTATTTACAACACTCTAACTACTTAAAACTCAAACTGCACAATTTCACTGCGTGTGTGTTTGCTGGACAGCTGACATTTACAGCAAAAGCCCCTATTTCACTGCGACTGAGAGAATGAAAGTACTCCATTTCTCTTTCTCTCTCTCTCTTACACACACACACTGACACACACACACACAAACTCACTCACTCACTTGCACATCTCCAGTCAACATACAGTGGTGTTTTCTTTCTGAATTAATTGACTTTTCTTATTCCCAATACTTTTACTCAGTTGGTGACAGTTCTAGTTACTTGTTCAAAGAATTATTTCATTAAACCAAATGATTTAATATTTTCTTATTAATCATAAGTAAATGAATAAATAAATGGATAATAAATAATGGAATAATTGTATAATTTATTCATTTTGGTTTAGTTTTAAACGTGTATCAATTTCTTTATTTTGGTTAGTTTGTAACCAAACTGTTTTAGAGTATCCAAATACCAATTTAGAGACCTCTGGGGAAAAAAAATATTTGTAGTTAATTCTATGTTTAATAGAAAAAATAATTTATATCTCTTTTTTTCAAAATGTATACTTGATGTTTTTGTATTTAACAATTATGAGTGAAACTTTTGTATTTTGAGCAGTTTCTCAGTAAAATTCAAGATGGATACACAGACAGACAGACAGACAGACTGACTGATAGTTTGATAGATAGACAGAGATAACAAAAGTACACACATCCTTTAAAGAAGTACAGCCTCAAAAATGTAATAAATTAAAAAGTACCCGTTTCAACCTCAGTCCCAAAGACACGCGGTATAGATGAATAATAATTCAACTGAACTGGCAGTGTATAAGTGTGTGTGTGAATGTGAGTGAGTATAGGTGTTTCCTAGTACTGGGTTGCAGATGAAATTGTATCCACTGTTTAAAACTAATTCTGGAATAATTATATTTTTATTCATAAATTGCCCAGCATACTTACATTTTGTTTTTGAAAAAAAAATTGTTAATAGAAAAATTTAATAAAACTTATCAGAAATAAAGGAAATAAACCACAATGCATAATTTTTTTATAAAGTATTTGATTGTTTTAGTATTAATTGTACAAATCTTTACAAAAAAGCACTATATTTCGCGGTATTACAATGAAAGACAAGAGAAAGCCTGTTCAGAATGATCAGAAGTGGACAAAAGACTTAAGCATTAAACCGCATGCTTTTAAACTGGAACGTGTCTCTCTTGTCTACCTGTGATCTGAACGAGCAAAATGTGTTTTATTATCGTGTAAACAGGGCAGCATCAGTCATGTTAGATTTAACGTCTCCCTCTGTCACATCTGCGTAGTCATCCTAGCCTTTCTCATTGTAATCTTCATAAACTAAACCATGTACAGTGCGCAATAGCCTTGAAAAGGCCACGCAGTGCAGCACACAGGTGCACAATGAGGAAATATGGACTGACTGCATCAAAACTGTTCATATTGCGCAATGACACGAAATAATATTGATCGCGCCACCAAACACATGAAAATAAAAGTAACGTGCGTGAATTAAAAAATGTAAGGAGCAGAAAGTACAGATATTTGTGTAAAAATGTAAGTAAAAAGTAGTCAAAGAAATAAGTAGTGGAGTAAAGTACTGATACTAGAAAAATCTACTTAAGTACAGTAACAAAGTATTTGTACTTCCCATCTCTGTAGATATATCAGCATAACAATCAATATTACATTCGCTTCAACCAAAAACACCTCAACAAAACATTCATACTACAATTGCATAGAGCAGGGGTGGCCAACACTGTTCCTGGAGATCTACCTTCCTGCAGAGTTCAGTTGCAACCCATATCAAACACACCTGCTTGTAATTATCACGTGGTGTTCAGGTCCTAATTAATTTGTTCAGGTGTGTTTGATTTGGGTAGCAACTGAAATCTGCAAGAAGGTAGATCTCCAGGAACAGGATTGGCCACCCCTGGCATAGAGTGTGACAAAAGAAATGCTGTTAATTTGCAATGCATTGAATTAATTTATCAGTACATGCTGTAATGAATCAGATTAAATGTGTGTTATGGATATTGAAAGATATCCACAGGCCTGACTAAAAAGAAATTGCTCATAAATTTTGGTCATAAAATGTGCAGACACTGGTTAATAATCAATCGTATTAACTCACGTGTGTTTGTGCACACTGTTACATGGATTACATTTTTGCGTATTTCCCTTTGCACACACTCCTGTGTTTGCACTGAAGTGAGTCTTTTATTATCTTTAAATTCTCTTTTTCCCCTCCTCAGTATAATCGAAGAGCTAAGGATGCGAGACCCGTCCTTCCCTGATGTTTCTCATGGAGTTCTCATCCACCGTGTGATTGTAGGATCTCCAGCCAACAGATGTGCTGCTCTCTGAACATGATGTTATCAGCTGTTGATTAAGGCATCCTATTGATGATGTCATTTCCTGTTTTCTGTTTTGCAGAGCCGGAATGAAGCCAGGAGATGTTATTATTGAGATCAATGGGGTAAAGGTGAACACGTCAGAGGAGATATATAATGCTGTGAGGACCAGCGAAAGCTTAAATGTGGTGGTCCGCCGGGGGGCCGACCTGCTCATGCTGCACATGACCCCAGAGTCCACAGAGTGACATCAAGTCTAGTTTTTAGTAAGATTAAGAAATGGTGAGTAATGAGAAGCTGTCATAGTTGGAGCTGTTGTAAGAAAGGAATCATCTTAAGAGTTGAACAGTTTTAGCAAACGCTGGACATTCGTGTAGTAAACGTGTTTCTGGAAGCGTATGAAATAATGTGGATGATTCAGACTTCTGTACACTGGATAAACCTCAGTGTGTCTGCGCAAACTACACTATCAGTATTGATTTGAAGGAATATCACTGAATATTTTGTTTAGGATTGTCATGATGGCAACAAACACTCAACGACCTTAATAAAACTGGGTGCTCTTATTGTGAAAATGCTGATGTTTTGTATTGAGTCTCACATTCTCATGTTACGACGTTTGTATTTTAATACATTTTTCTGAACAGCTCTGATTTCACAATAAACCATTGGAATATTTATGGATGATTTGCTTATGTCGCAGTGACTGATATGTTTAGGTTTTGGGTCAGCGCTGTACAGCATTCTGAAAAAGTGTATTTCTAAAAGTGCGCCGTAATGACGCCAGTGTCAACTGCAGTGTGTGTTGGAAAGGACTGGATGCTGTTCAAACCTCATGCCAAATTTTTGTCACCCCAAACAAAACCATTTTAAATCCACACAATCTGACAACACTGGGGCTAGATCACAATATAAGCCACAACACAAGTGAGTTCAATAAAATATATCTTTATTACAGACATGTAGAAAAATCAAATATACAAAACATTCTGCTAATGTGACTCAGAACTCCAGCATGGACCAGTCGTGGTAAGGCATCTCTTCTAGAGGAATTCTGCACTCTGGATTCTCATGCAGACAAGCCGTCATCATATCACAGCATTCTGTGAAGAAGAAATGGAGAGGTGAGGTTATTGTTATTATTATTATTAAGCTGTTTCACTTAATTGTTCTTTGATGAACATCTCACCTTGAGAGAGGGTAAATTTGGACCAGTCATGTTGGAGGTAGTACAGGTCATACGCTGATGGGAATTCTCCATGGAGCATTGTGAACAGAAGAACCCCAAGAGAATAGACCGTCGCTGGTTTGGCCCGGTAGCATCCTTTTTCATAAAACTCTGGCGGGATGTACGCTTCTGTGCCTGGAGGAGAGACGTTTAGTTTAGCATCATGTTGAATATATATACCAGATGGGCTTCAGCTGTGCTAATTAACCAGCTTTCAATACGTATATTAATAATGCTTATGCACATTCATAACTAGTGTTGTCAAAAGTATCAACTACCAATCGATACCGACACTCATCACAGTCATATTTGCTGAGCATGTGAACACCAATGGCCAATCAGTGGTGTTTAACAGCGCTCAAATTGACTTGTTAAATGTCAGAATCGATTGGTACCGAAGTCGATACTTTTGACCACACTATTCAAAACACCTACCAGAGAAGAGACTGTAGGCTGATTCCATCATGAAGTCTCCACACCCGAAGTCGATCAGCTTGACTTCCAGTGTGTCGGGGTTCACCAGCAGGTTTTGAAGCTTAATATCCCGGTGGAACACCCCGCGGTAACAGCACACGTTGGCCGCATAAACAGCTTGCCTCATGATGGTATGTGCTGTTTTCTCACTGAGGACTCCTCCGCTGACTTCAAGGAATGCCTCCAGGTCCATGCTTGGACTAGGCCGCTCCATCACCATGACATAATGGTTTTTAAAGACCTGCCAGTCCAGAAGCTTAATAATATTCGGACACCTGGAGCCACCGCTGGCCATGTTTGCCAAGGTGATCTCTAGAGGAAGTGGCTGGTCACATGACTGAAAACAAAATAATAATGTTGGTTTTCAAACAAGGGTTTCTGACCACAGCCTGTGGTCTATAATAAATATAAGACTTTATAAACTGAACACAGCGAACAGAAAGTGTAGTCTACTCACAGAGCTGACATCTTGCATATTTGGGGTCTTCTGGACAAATTTAACTGCCACCTGTTTAAAGGAACAAGCGAACAATTAACATGTGCACGGAGATCATTTCATTCAGTCATAAATCCTGAACAGAGGATTCATTCGTCAGCAGAAATGTCCAAACAATGAAAGCTCTGATGATGTTCTTTAAACAGGGAACTTCATCAGAGGATTTGAGTCTACAAAAATGAATACCTGCAGACCATCCTGTATGCGAATCCCCTCATACACGGAGCCGAAACCTCCTTCACCAAGCTGCTTTCCGAGTTTGTAGCGGCAGCTGATGTCATCTGTTAAAAATGAAGAAAATGTCATTAAATTATAAACCAAATAAAAACACAAACAGTTGAAGTCAGAATTATTGTCAGATTTCAGAACATGATAGTTTTAATAACTCATTTCTAATAACTGATGTCTTTTATCTTTGTCGTGATGACAGTACATCATATTTACTGGATATTTTCAAGATACCAGTGTTCAGCTTAAAGTTCTGAATACTTAAACTTTATTGCTCTGCATCATTTGGGAAATATTTAAAAAATATTAATACAAAATCACAGGAGGGTGAATAATTTTGACTTCAACTGTATAATTTTACAAAGTTTGATGAGCCTAAACAAATGTTCTGAACTCCAGCAATAAACTTACTATTGTCCAAGCAGGTCCCATCATCTGCTGTAGACTTCACAGCAGAGTCCTCTTGTGAGACCTGATCCGGTAAAGGGTTCGAGTTTTCATCCAGGGCAGAGTCACAGATGTCATCTGTTATGAGCTGCTGGCTCACTGGAAGTTCATTGTCCTCATCAGATGGTGAACTTGGAGGACTATCAAGCTCTTGCTCCAGGCTGTCCTCACTGAGGGAGGATGCGTTGTCTTCTGGGAAGTGAAGCTCTGCAGAGTCGTTCTCAATGACCACTGCAGAGTCAAAGCTGTTCACTTCAGGTTTAAAGTCCAAATCTTCGTCTGCTGGAGCATCAAGAGCTGGAGGTTGGAGAACTTCCAGCTCCAGGTTGCTCACAGCAGTGCAGAAGAATTTAGAGCTACTGATGGGCTCTGCGTGAAGTTCGTGGATCTCCTGCACACATAGCTGATCTAAAGAGAGGAAGGAACATCATTAATATGACTCTACAACTCTTTTTGACAAGATATTTGAACAGTTCATTTGCAGAAACATTACTCAATGTGTTTTTATTGATGATCTTCATGGGTTTTCTGCATTGAATTAGCAAACAAGTAAACTATATATCTAAAGGCAAAGCTCACTGAAATAAAAAATCCTAATACAAATAATTCTTATTTTTTCTGTTTTTTACACAAAACTACAAATTCTGAAGAAAATTCCTGAAATCAGCAGCCATTAACCTTCATTGTAGGAACACAAAATACTGTGGAAGTCAATGGCTGAAAGCACCTCAAACAGGTTTAAGGAGTAAATTATGACAGAATTGTCTTGTTTATGTGAACTGTGGCTTTAAGAAACTCTTTCTAAAATGTCCTCCAGTTAATGTTCATTTCTGATCTTTAAACACTTATGTGATGTGTTTGGTGTGTTTAACAGTATGCTTTAGTAATTAAAAGTGCTCATAAATCTATTTTACCAACAACAGTAGCTCTTCTTCTGGAAAAACAGGTGAAGAAGATGGGAGACAATTTGAGTTTCCTCTTTTTCTGTCTCCCTGCCTGTTTTCCTGCAGCGACGGCCGGGTCATCGGTCATCAGATGACGGTGATTCTCTGTCGTGCTGCCGGTGGGTTCGAGTGGCTCACACGGTTGTTCGTTCGCACACTTAACACCAAACGCTTTCTTCAGACGGTTAATCAGTTTTGAAAATGCCATTTTATCACTGTACTGTTGAATCGCAGAAAGTACTGAACTACTAGACATCCAAAGAAGCTAATGAGAGTTTCTGCTACGTCAAAAAGCTTTATACTGTCACTGATGATGTCAGAGTTCCACAATTCCATTTGGTATGACGTAGAGACTTTTTAAAACACAACAAACTTCTAATGCAGGGCCGCGCTAGACTGACTGGCTCATTCGCCTTAATGTGCTCACACAGCCACCTGCTTATACACATTTTTTCCAATTATTAATTAAATTAATTTTGCACTTAAAGGCCAATGTATTTTTTTTCTGTCATGCACAACTTTTCTGCGTTTTGCTTATTGTTACAATTTTTACCATGTTTCTATATATTTATACGCGCGCGCGCGCGCGTGTATGTGTGTGTGTGTGTGTGTGTGTGCGTGTGTGTGTATGATTCATTTATTTTGAGTAGCTCATTTCAGTTATTTTATATTTTCGTTATCAATTATTTATCATTTTTAACAGTATTATTATTATCAGTTATATTATATTTTATATATTATGATTATATAAATTCGTTATTGTTGTGAATTCTTTTTAAATGAATAATGCTTCAAATAATAAATTTAAAAGAAAAATATGCAACAAAATGAAGTTATCCATGTATTACCTGAAGCCGCCAGTAGGTGGTGGTAGGACACTGTCTTAAGTGAATAAGACATTTATTCAGCAACAAAGCAACTGTTGTATTTATGAATAGGTCAAGGATGAATCGACTCTCACAATTTATTTAAATCCACAGATTCATTCACAAAAAATAACCCACTCTAGCCTAAATAAGGACTGAACCGATGTGAACAGGTAGGAATAATGATCAAATTCTTGTGGATTAAACATCTTTGTTACATTTGTTTACATTAATTGCAGTAGGTTTTATTAAGTTACAACAAAAGGTGGGAAATGGTTTTAATTGCGAACTGTACTTATTTTGTGTGAACATGCTACATGCTAACACCGTCACAGCATTGCAGTCAACTAATTTAGAGCTACTAACGTTAGTCAACAGTCCCCGCCTTCACTAAGTGAAAAATGCGAATTAAAAAGAAAAAATAACCTAAATAAAATAAATAATTACAAATTAAACAAATGAATATTTAAGTCAGTGTAAATAGATCTAACGTTTATTACTGTATGTCACAGGCTAGTAGCGCTAATTAGCATTTGATGCTAATGCTAACATTGATGCAACTTAATGTAACGTATATTAACGGTACTGTAACTTTAATCTATTGTTTTACTTAAAAGCTTATCAAACCTTTAACATTAACATCAGTCAGATTAATTGCTATTTGAGTGATTCTGTTCAAATTAACTTACATTTGTTTCTGTCTTGTTAACTTTAGGAACTATAACATACAGTGAGAGGAATTATTTAGTTTTATATTACAGAAACTCGATATTTATTTTCTATATTTTTGTTAGGCCACAGTTTGAAATGCCATTCTGCAGGCTGAAATGGCATATTTAACACAATTAACCACGGCTTTACTACAATAATACAGTCAGGTTTATTTTGTGTGGATAAATGTTAGTTTACTGTAATAAAACTATGTTTTTGTCTTATTGGCTAAATGGGCTCATGAAAGTGTTTCACATAGAAATAAATAAATAATAATTAATAATAATAATTCCTTACATTTATATAGCACGTTTCCTGCACACTCAAAGTGCTTTACGCATTGGTGAAACATGTTTCCTGAAAGCCATTTTGAAATGGAAACAATATTTTTCTTTCCCATTTATAGATGATATTTGGTCAACAATACATTTTTACGCCCAAATCAGGTAGAAGAAATTCATTTCAAAATATTACACAGGTACTACTATCCCTGCAATATATTTAATAATAAATAATAATAATAATAAAAAATTCACAAAAATGTTCTTTTTGTACTTGTAAATTTTCTGATGATTTTTGGAAACAGGTTTTAGGGTTGATTTTTGATTAATTTGGAGATATGCTGTAGAGAGAGGAATCATTAAAAGGCCAGAAGTGAAAATTCTGTTGTCATTTACTCCAAACATGCTTGCGTTCTTGTGATATTTTGAGAAGTCAGTGGTCCCTCACTGATTATAAAACACACACACACACACACACACACACACACACATTTTGAGTCTCTATGCAGTTACATTGACTGTAATTTAAGTTATGAAAGCAAACAATATACTTTTTTTTGTTTTATATTAATTATGACGTATTTAAAGGAAGACTTTTTGGCAAATAGGCTCATTTTTCAAGTCACTCAGAGTTAAACTGTTGAGTTTGATCATTTTAATCCGTTCAGCTGATCTCTGGGTCTAACAAATAGTCCAAAATCTTTGATTATTACTCCAGAATGAGAGTATAGCAAAGATTATAGAATACACATGACGTGTCACTCGTATACTTTTGAATGGGAAAAGTGAAACAGTCATTATGGCGAATGAAGCCCCACCTTCTAGTACAGGAGCCAATCAGTGATTGATATATGGCAAATAAAGCCCACCTTTTAGTACATGAGCCAATCAGCGATCAGTATAGAATGACAATTCTCCAGGGGAGGGGCTTGGACTAGATGTGAGTTTCTGCAGATATTGTGTGATATGGACATTTATAAATGAAACTAAAAGGACAGTTACTGTTTAATTTTATTGGTTATTCATAGTATGTAATGTAATCGTAATCTTGGCAAGCATTTTTGAAGAATTTGATTTACCCATTCAAACAGAATGCCCATGTATACTTCCCGAGAGGCGTATAGGTATAGTTACTAGCCATGTCAAGTTGGAACATAGCAGCTATTCATTTCCATCAGTCTTGGTGCATACTTTAACTACACAAGAGTCAAGTTTTACTTTAAAAACTCTTTGGAATTTTTTGAGCGAGATGCTAATGGTCTAATCTGATTCAAGGATCTATGCTAAGCTAAGCTAAAAGTTCTTTTGTCAGACCCGGAGTTTGTCTGAATGGATTTAAAGAGCCCCTATTATACATTAAAAAGGGTCATATTTTGGTTTTTTGGGGGGTCTCCAACAACAGGCTGATGTGCATTCAAGGTCAAAGAACACTTTCATTGTCGTAGAATATGCATTTATTTTTACCAAATTATGGCAGCGACTCGCTTATGATTATTTAACAGTTAATTTGTTCCTACACCCCTCCCTAACGCGATGCTAATCTACACTGATTGGTCCTATTGTACTCTGTTGTGATTGGTCAACAGCGTTCAGCGTGAGACAGAGAGAAATGGCCACCATGGCTTATCAACAATATTGAAGTAGTCAGAGTGCAGAGTGTATGTGTGAGTATACCTGCCAACACTCACGTTTTTTTCGGGAGTCTCCTGTAATTTCAGACCCATCTCCCGCCACCCTCCCGTTTTGTTATTTATCCCGGAAACTGATGATGGCCATAGCAACGACAAGTGCCAGAGGATTGTGAGTTTAAATGCAAACGCATTTAAATCCATAAACAAAGCAGCACGCGTCGCATTTTCATCATGGCATTAGACGTGAAATGAGAATATAAAGAGTTAACCAGATGCACTACAAGCGGTTATAAGTAGCAAAAAACAATTAAATACATAATTTGTAGAGAAAACAAAGAGGCAACCATTTTAATTGCACATACTTACACTTGTGAAATAGAGAAAGAAACTGATCCACATTTGCATTATTTATTAAAAATGTTTCCTTCCTGTTAAAAATAAATATATTTCTAATCTGATATGTAATGGGGAGAAAAAAAGTAGCACAATTTCAGAAGATGTTGGATTCGAACCGGGTTGATAATCAATTGCGTCAAAGATGTTGTTGTGCACATTACGAGGTACGCCACTCAGGCTGTGATGCTGCATAGCTCTTTACTAGGCCCACACAGAATCTGTGCGCACAGAATTCTGCAGATTTTTAGCCTATCATTAATTCTGTTTATTTACTTGAGTAAATGTGTAAATCTGAATTTATTCAGTTTTTATTCAGTAAATTATTACTTTTTATTTAATATATTAAGGTGTAAGTTATGATACTCTGCTGGAAACTCCCAAAATAATTCTGCAGAAATCCTCAGATTTTTACCAAAATTCTCAGCAGAAATAGTAAAATACGTCCGCAGATTCCGTCTGGCCCTGCTCTTTACTCATGTTGTCTCTGTCAATCAAGCATCGATGGGCATAAAGCGTGAATAGCTTATTCCAACTAGGTGCGCTATTTGCAGTTAGCCTAAAAAGACACCCCGAAATTGTCTTTTTCTTCTCCCCCCTCGCAGGGGCCCCAAGTGCGCTCGGGCCACTGGGCCTGTGCCTATAAGGCCCATTGGTTAATCCGGCCCTGAGCGGGGCTTAAGTTCCATTTCCTGGTCACGCCGGCACGGCTAAAGACTCGTTATCAAGACGATTCATTTAAAGCACTGCGAGTCGACTCTTTTATAAATGAATCAACAGTTTTAAACACTGCGCACTTGCAGATTTAAGTCTTAGCTGAATAATTCACTTCACTTAGAGCTGTGTTACACAATACATGGAAGGTCATTCTCAAAAACCCATAATAGAGGCTCTTAAAAAGAAGAATAAACTGAACTGTCTAACTCGAGGGAATGTAACATGAGCATATTTGCAAGTAGTTGTGTGGTTTACCCTAAAAGGAAACTTCTGTCATCATTTCTGATGAGTTTTTTTGACTCTGTTGAACATAAAAGAAGATATTTTTAATAATGCTGAAAACCTGAACATTGACTTCCATAGTAGTTATTTTTCCTGCAATAGAAGTCAATAGCTAGAGGTTTTCAGCATTATTGAAAATGTCTTCTTTTGTGTTTAACAGAAGAAAGAAACTCATAACGATTTCAAATATGCAGAGGGTGAGTAAATGATGGAATCATTTTTATTTTTACTATTAATTTCACTGTTAATTTAAGTTATTGAGTTTAATTTAAAAGCCTCACAAAAATACTTTATTCATTCATTCGTTTATTTTCTTTTCGGATCAGTCCTTTTATTAATCTGGGGTCACCACAGCGGAATGAACCACCAACTTATCCAGCATATGATTTTAAGCAGCGGGTGCCCTCCCAGCTGCAACCCATCTCTGGGAAACATACATACATACTCATTCATACACTACGGACAATTTAGCCTACTCAATTCACCTGTACCGCATGTCTTTGGACTGTGGGGGAAACCATAGCACTCGGAGAAAACCCACGCGAACGCAGGGAGAACATGCAAACTCCACACAGAAATGCCAACTGATTTAGCCGAGGCTCGAACCAGCGACTTTCTTGCTGTGTGGTGACAGCACTACCTACTGCGTCGCCAAATTACTTTATTATTTGATATAAAACTATAATTTTTTTATTTATTAAAATAATTTCCAATTATTAAAAAGCCTTTTCAGTGTCAGTTTTCAGCCAAATGCATCTAGAATTTTCCGTTTCAATCAACAAGCTTCATTTCAGTGCTTCCCTAATCTTGCTTTAAGAGGGTCTTTTTGCATTGCACAACTCAAAAACAAGGCGGCAAAACATCTAATTATTATAAACATTTTAAATTATAAACATTTAATTACTATAAAAATAGAACCAAACCCTTTTCCCCAAATGTCATTATTATTAACAAAATTATTGTTATCAGACATTTATAAAATACTTATTTAACGTGTTGAAGCAACTCAATTCTTAAGTTTATTGGGGGCAACTTGACTGTTTTATGTTCAACTCACTTACATTTATAAAAACAATCAAGTTACCCTAATTCTTTACTTTTTTATCATTTCTATTGTTAAAACATTCTCACATTTCGCAGGGTTGTAAAACCCAACAATGTTTTAACACTACACATATATTTACAATATTTTTTGTTAATTCGGTTTAATTTCTGAATGTTAAGTAATCATAAGTGGTAGTTGTAGTTGTTGTTGTTGTTGTTATTAATAATGCTGTTGTCATTTTCACTGACATTATTACTATCATTATTATTATTGTACTATCTATCTATTATATGTTTTATTTAAATCTTTATTATTCTTGCTTCATTTTTTTGAATTGTTGTATATTTTTATGTTCTCTTGTGTATATACTTTGTTTGACTTGTTCACCCAGTTACCTTTACATGCGCGCGCACAACAGGATTGTTTTTTTCAGCAGGGTGTTTTATGTTGATTTTCTCTATAGAGACTTTTTGGATCACTTGTTTCTATTTTAAGATGACCAGATGGTTTTAGTTTCAGTTGTGTTTGGGAATTGTGACTAATTTTACACTCTTTCTTTTCAGACACCCCTTTTCTGGCCGTGAGGTCCCCATCTCGAATGGCTCTGGCTTTATAATAAGTAGTGATGACCTGATAGTGACAAATGCCCATGTGGTCGCCAACAAGCCTGGTGTTCGTGTCAAACTGACCAATGGTGAGACTTACAACGCCACAGTTCAGGATGTGGACCAGGCTGCAGACATCGCCACCATCAAAATCAATGTTAAGGTACAGATGGAGCTTTGAGGTTGTACTGTTAACATATGTAATCTTTTGGGGATATTTAATTTTTTAATTAGGGATGCACCGATCCTGATACTTGGATTGGATATCGGTTCAATACTGCATATTTTTACTGCAAATCCCATCTTGCACGTGCTCTATATTCTGTGTAATTTATAAGCAAAGAAAAGCCAAAAAGTTAGCCTTTTATAAGACAGTAGAAAGTTGTCTTGTAGGCCTACTGTATCCCAAATGTTTTGAAGCCATTCTATAGTTTAATGTGAAGTACACACTGTTAAAAATTGTCCCGTTAAAAAACAGTAAAATACTGGCAGCTGCTGTTGCCAGCAATGTACTGTTATTTTACAGTATGTCGCTGTAAAAATACATGAACTACATTGATTTACACAATACTCAAGGGAACTCATTTTGTTCACTGAAAGCAACTGCCTCAAATTGGTCAACTGCTGAATGAGTTTATGAAGTATTGTGCTATACATGCTCAGAAGTATACTTATAATGATAACTTATTTTAGTTAATTAGAAAAGTTCGGTTTAACTCTAACGTCTCATTTTTCACAACAGCACACAAACATGTAAATCTGGAACTACCAGAGATTCTGACTGCATCAGCAACTAAACAGCCGCTATCCTTAAATAGAGAAACATGCAGAACAACATCAGCAGTTCACTGTTCATCTTTAACTCATACACTGGCTCTACTCTTCTCCACAACGGTGACACACAGAAGAAATTAGCTTCAGGTTTTACAGTAAAATACTGTTTTTTCCTTTATTTAACAGTAAACTATGTCAGCTGTGGTTGCCAGCAATCTACTGTTTTTTTACAGTCTATTTCCGTAGTTTAAATTAACAGTATATTACTGTTAAAATACATTTTACACTGAGATTTTACCTCTCACACCTTTAACCCTTTAAACCCCAGAGCATATACTTCAGTTTTAATTGAAGTGTCCACACTACTGAGTGTTCAAGAAACGTGTAGCAAAGCTGAAGTAAATGAATTAATCAAACGACTAATTAAATGATGATTGAGGATTAACGATGAACAAATGAAGAAATACTGAAGGGAAAAAACAAGAACAGAACATACAAAACTACAACTTTAGTCACAGCATTATAATAAAATAACCTGAAGGTCAACAAATGATTAAATCATTTAAATGATCAGCGGATGATTAAACAACTCTACAAACATCATCACCAGCTTCACTTATTACTGAAACGTTTATTTTTGTGTAACATCTACTAAAGTTCTTCTTGAGAGTAAGGGTAACATTTTACGTCACCATCATGGAGAACAGAGTTTGCTTTAGTTGGGCTTTTAGCCCTGACATCATTATCAATAATATATTTTGGCTGCTGCAATTGTTAGGAGCTTCGTTTAAAAAACTTACTTGATGTGGCAAGCCAGCCAAAAACCTAAATAATGTCTGGTAATGTTTATGTTGCTATTAAATGCCAGAATCTGTTCTAATTTAATGTAATATTATTTACTGCTCTTATTCAACGTTAATTCTATTGTTTCACAATATATGTGGCAATGATTTCTAGAAGTTTTTAAGAATATCTTGGACAAAAACACTTTGCTCTATGATGTAAGTTGCACTCAAACAGACATCAATAATCAGCATATGAACCTCAACTATGGTGACAAGTAACAAAATTAACAGTTTAACTCACAAACAGGCAACTAAAAGTCTAAACATAAATAAAAGCAGAATAAAACGCAAATAAAGAAAACTGTAAGACCATTATACTACATTTATTCATGCCGCAATGCATGCTGGGAAATTTGTACTGTGCCACAACCAGCATGCATTGCAGTATGAAACATTTTAATTGTTACCATTGTTGAAGTACAAGGTCTGATTCATGAGGTCTGAGTGTGTCTTTATCTTAACTGAACTGTGTTTGTATGTTACAGTATCTCTTAACTGTAAAGTAATTATATAAGTATCTTTTATGTTTCCACTGATTAATTAAATTAATATCTGCAACTATAGAATACAGAATACTACTGTTTTAGTGAAAAAACATTATTTTACTGTGGAATCTGACCGTTTTTTAACAGCAATTTTTTACAGTGCAGATCAATATTCACATGGTTAAATTCATGTTCAGTTCTGCGCTCCCCTCCGCTGCACCTGTCAATCATTCTCCGTTTATTTACAATTCAAACTGCGTGTCACGTTCATGACAACATGAAAAACTTTCTCCAACACTATTTGTCCCTGTTAATTTAAATAAATATAAATTTATTATATTACATTATATTAATTTATTATAATATAATATATATTATATTGGTTCATTTCGACCTGAAACGACGAGTTCATTTCTGTTTCTAAATCATGTAGCTGTTAGATCAGCAGATCGCATTCGCAACACTGGAACTGAGTGGGTTATTACCTGCTCTTCACACACAAAGTAGGCCTACCTGAAATTTAAAACTAGAAAAGGCTCAATAATACATTGGACAGATCCTTAACGCACTGATTTCTTCCCTTTTTACTGCTGTTTTGGATTGGAAGCTGTCTCAGTGATGCATCAAGCACTTCATTCACACACCGGCTGATGTGACGTGTGCCGCTCTGTAAAATTATTCTGTAACATTAAAAGTTTCTGTTTTCTCATCCTTCCGACTGAGTTTATTCTTTCGAGGGGAATACTTTTAGGATAGTTTGTAAGCCTGGCTCATTGTGGTCAAAGTTGTTGATTAAATTAATAAAAGTGAAACTGACAGGTGCAATATAGATTTTAATTAACAGAAAATTATTTAGCCTAGTACCGGCTGCTCTGAAAACTGTGAATATTTGACTAATTTTATTTATATCAATAGTTTATTTAAGAGACCAGTTTGTGTTTTGATTAGAGTCAATAGTGGTAGCCTGTTGCAGAGTTCAAAGAAAAATCTTACTATTAAAAAAGGAAACATAAGCTGGACCACATCACCATAGAAACTGTATTATGCTTAAATAAATGGCACAGTATCAGGATCGGATCTGTATTGGTCGATACTCAGAATTTTGGGATCGAAATCGAATCAGTCCCAAAAAGATGGTATCGGTGCATCATTATTTTTATTGAGTCATAGTTTAATATGGTAAGGGCAAGGACTTATTTTATTTTATTAATTTACATTTTTAGTAAAAGGTCTTTATCAAATGAGTAATTTCTTTTTGAATTTTGTTCATTTAAGAATTAAACCTATAGAATCAAAATTGTGTCACTGTTAGTACATTAAAAGTGTGAGGTCAATATGATTTTAATGTTTTTTATGGCTCTACATTAACTTTTTTGATCACCAGCCTATATGGCTAGTAGTTTTTCAACTTTACTAGCCACTCGCCATTTTCACTTTTGTTTTTGGGAAAATATATTTGCAAAATTACTTGATTTAGATGTGTTGTGTATGACTTTGCTCAATGAGCATGAGTGGTAGTGGTTTGATGGTGTTGCTTTGTAGTTATTTCAGGGCTCAACGTTAGGGTTGTACCAATTTTTTCTCTGACCACACTGGAAAATAAATAAATAAATAAATAAATAAATAAATATTTCTTAGCCAAAAATGTTAAATAATTTAAAAATTTCAAAAACTAGCAAAATATATGTTTTAATATGCACACACTTTTTATTAAATAAAACTAAACTAACAATTATTGTCATGTAGCCTGTCTAAAACTATGCAAAGTAGTCTGTCCTAGCTCCAAGACCAAGGTCTCAGATCAGCAGTTAACTATACATTAAATTTAATCTATTAAATCAATGTTACTGAAAAGAATGATAATTAAACCATATTAACAAAAAGAAAGCAGGTGAAAAACATACCGTGTGCAATAATGAAAGGATGATCAAACGCACACAGTTAACATTAGGCCCATTAATAATCTGTTCAAAGATTGTTTAAAGCTGAAGCTGCAACTGCTGCTGCATACATAAAATACCTTCTTTTTTAAAAAATCTCGAGCTCTTGAAAATGGTGGATGTGTATCACTTTTTGTCAAGTCTATTTCAAACAGAACCGATCGCAGCATTGTGTTTCCGGTCAAGGTTGCTTCACGCAAGGAAATGGGATCGTGCACGCTTTTAAAAAATTGCGCGCGTCACATAACATTCTGTATTTATCTGCTTTCTTTTGCTTGCGTGAACACAGTTGTTTTTGTCAGTCGGGCTGCTTCTCATTTCTAGAGGTTCATCCTTATTGTTGAACCCTACTTTTAAAAAAAATACAATTTAAAAATGATTTTCGACCAGCCAAAGTGGATAGTGGGAGTGGCTGTCTAATCCGCCACAGCTAAAGTCTACCTGCGGTTGGTGGGTGTTAATGTCAAGCCCTGGTGTTAACCCATTAATCTGTTTATACTGTATTTAGGCTACATACACGCTGTAATATTTCAGGAGGAACGGCCGCATACAAATATGGAAATAAACTCGAAATTGTGATAACTTTAGTGACATTTGGTTTTGTATCCTCAGATTTTTAAACGCAGTAATATTACAGCAACTAAAGAATAATTATAGTCAACAATTTTAGGTAAACCAACAGTAACAGAGGAGGCTTTTATGTTTGGAAAGCCATTTTTGCAATTGATTTTTGACAGTTTTCTTTTACCACAGTTCTAGTACATGGCCATATAGTCTTACATAGTGTCATTGTGTTCTCTGTCTTGTCCCAGAATCCTTTACCAACGTTGCGTCTTGGCAAGTCATCTGATGTGCGTCAAGGTGAATTTGTGGTTGCCATGGGGAGCCCCTTTTCTCTTAAAAACACCATCACATCTGGAATTGTCAGCTCTGCACAGAGAGGCAGTAAAGAACTGGGTCTCTCCAACTCCAACATGGACTACATCCAGACGGACGCTACCATTGATGTAAGAGCACTGGAAACTGGGTGGTGTTGCATGCAAAAAAAATGTATGTCATCATTTAATGAATTGCATTCCATCACTCAATCACAATTCTGCTTTACAGTTTGGAAATTCAGGAGGGCCTCTCATAAACCTGGTGAGTCGCTGACATTTACTCAAAAAACTGCTTCTGCCTTTTGGTTTAAAGGGTCACGAAACACCAAAACACATTTTTGAGATGTCAATAGTCATATATATGTTCCACACTGCTAAAAACACTCTTAGGACACATATTTAACAATAAAAGTGAAGAATTGGTTGTTTTTGCGTTATTTCAAACAAATTTGTTCTTCCGGTTTGAAAAGAAATTTTGAAGCTACGTCAAGGCCATGAGCTCCTTGTGTGAATTCCAGCATGGAGACTGGGTGTCTGTATCGGCGGGTACAATGTGACGTCTTTGAGCTTTCATCATTAATTCAAGAGAAAGACGAACCAATCAGCGCGCTCTATTGTGAATGAGGTGCAGCTTTATTAATATGCATGATAGCTTCAAAAACTACCTGTTACAGTATTCAGAGAGACGCGACGTTGTGTTGCTTACCGTAAATAAAACAAGTGGAAGAAGAAGAATTGTTCAGAGACATGGGTCGTCAGTGTTGTTTATAAACGTGCCACAATAAAGGTTTTGTTTTCATTTTCCCGCAGTGAGAAAGGACCCACATTTGTGGACTACAGTGGTCTTCTAACACGCAACAAAAATGTTTGTAAGGAACATTTTTACCCGAGAGCTTTTTGTATTATAAATGGTGAAATCCAGATTTGCCACTCGTCTTCCTATAAAAAAAATCGCAAATCCAGTTCGTATTGATTGTCCTGTCTCTACGGATTTGGTAAGTAAGCAATTGGTGTACCTTGTTATTCAGATGGCAAAGTAGGCCATTAAAACTACACTCTTCTAGCAGTTCCTTGGATCCAATATGTCGTTTGTCATGGGGGGCACGCATGAAATGTTCTTGAATGAAAATGAAAGTGCCAAACTGCAGTTAAAGTCGACAAATTAAGAATGAAACTCCCCAAAATTACATGACACTCCAGAAGAAACGTGGATAGCGTGGTGACACAATGACGTTAATCGTATTATGTGCTTTAACATGTAAAACGGGATCATGAAATAAACATTCAAAAAGCAACTTATGTAAACACCTTAATCATATTGTTGTTTTAATCAGATTAAGGCAAATAGTTAGATTACTGATGTCCACAAAATCATTACTTTATCTGTTAAACTGACAAGTGTAACACAAACTACTCTCCTGTCTTCATTTGGAGTAAAAATTCCAAGTAACTCAACACAAGCAAAGGCAATTGTAGGCATAATAGTAGGAGTATTAGGGTAGGAGTATTTATAGCCACAGACATGCAACCTTTTTCAGGGGTAGAAAACTCCGGTTTTAGGCATTTAATTAGTGTGCTAGAACCACACTACGAAATCCCAAGTAGAACGTATCTCACAGCTACGGTGGTACCCTCCTTGTACAATAAGGTGAAGGAGAAAGTTATCAGTGCACATTTAGTAGTTGACTACAGATTGCTGGACCTTCAGAGGAACACAGAGCTTCATGACTGTCATATTAAGAACGTGAATTGTTTTCAAATGTTCATCAATATTGTATTGTACTGGCCATACTCTAGCCTTATGTAATAAACTGATGTGTCATGTTTGTACTCTTCAGGATGGTGAGGTCATCGGCATTAATACCATGAAAGTGACAGCAGGGATTTCCTTCGCTATTCCCTCAGACAGAGTCCGTCTCTTCCTTGACCGATCTGCAGACAAACAGAGTAAGAATGACCTCACAGCTGCTTGCTTTTGTCTGTGACAGCATTTTTTTCACTGACAGATGGGTATTGGGTTTTTTTTTTAGACTCTTGGTTTGGAGAATCGGGATGGAAAAGGCGTTACATTGGAGTGATGATGTTGACTTTGACCCCCAGGTGCCAAACACTTTTATTACAATTTTACAGGAGAGCAAAATTCATACATTATGGAATCTACAGATTTTTGTTATTTACCACTAGATTTGGCTCTTAGAAATTCAAGTGCTGGAATACCTGGAAAATTGGCTTGTTCTGTTGAAAAGTGCTTAATTTATCAAGGAGAATTTGTATGCAATTTTCACGCCCCAAAAATAAAAATGTTTGTGAATTTTTGTGACAATTTAATGCAAAAATACCCGCACAATCTACCGTGATTCCGAAGCAGTGATTTAAATGATATGAGAAGTGGCCAATCACAGTCAACCTTGTTTAGTTTTACCTGAAATGTAAGGGCGGGACAAAGGCCTTTCTGTGTTGCAGTGACAGAAAAAAACTACTCAAAAACAAATGTATTATGGGAATAATGCTTTTCAGATGTTTTTACTATGTTATTAGCAAGAGTAATTAAACCGTGGACATACTTTCTGCCATTTCAATGATCTACACTGTAAAAAAAAATCGTAAAAAAAAGGTCAAATGACTGGCAGCTACGACTGCCAAACAAAAACCATAAAATTACAGTAAAATTTCTTTGTTTAAATAAAGTGCAAAAAATAATAAATCTACAGATATTGTCATTAAAATTTTTACAGAAAAACACTTATTTTACAGACTTTTCCTAGATTATTACTATCAAATCCATTTAATAAAGTAACACAATAAGAGTTTTACAGAGAAACACTGTTATTTTACAGACTTTTCCTAGATTATTATGATCGAACGCTATCAATAAAGTGACTGCACTAAAAGTTCAAGAGAAAACAACGCTATTTAATTTTTTTTTTTTTGCAATTAAACGCCTTTAATAAAATGCCAAGACATGCTTTTGGTCGTAATTTAACAGTTTTATTTTGGATCAAAAAAGTTTGGAAAAAACATCAAGTGAGATACAACTGATTAAAATTCTCACAACTATAACATTACATTTTATTGAATAGTATTACTTTAAAACATATAGAGGTTTACGTTGTATGAAATGATTCAGTTCCAAATCTTAAATGAAATGGAACTGTAACGTTAAGGGGACGTTGAGAAAGAGGTGCAGATTCAAATGCAGGTTTATTACACAGAGATGGTCAGGCAAACAAGTCAACACACGGGCAAACTGCAAACAGATGTATGCAGTGAATCCAGAGTCATGGTCAAATAACAAGCAAATGATCAGTCCTAGCAGCAAACAACGTAAACAATTTACAAACAAAGCAAGGCAAAAGAAGAGAACCGCGTCATAATGTTCACAGTAGCAGTATAACAAGACTAAGCAATTGGTGCGTGCGTCTGTGCTGCTTTTAAAGTGCATGTAATCAGTTCATAACGATCCTCCGACTATGTGTTTGCAATCAGCAGAATCTGAAACAGGTGTATGTGAGCACTCTTAGTGTGTTACTTTATTAGATGGATTTGTTCGTAATAATTTAGAAATAAATGACATATTTTCCAATATTCAAAGTGATATCGGACGGTCACTGTTTGCAGATGACGGAGCTCTGTGGAAGAGAGGAAGGAATGTTAAACATGTTAAACAAAAGATACAAGAAGCTGTAAAGTTAGTGGAAGAATGGTCATATTCATGGGGTTTCAAGTTATCAGTTGAAAAGACAAAAACTGTATTATTTACTAGGAAAAAAATCTGCGACATAGAAATTAATATGTATGGACAGAAACTGGAGCAGGTAAAGTCATTTAAATTTTTGGGAATGTGGCTTGATACAAAACTAACTTGGAATGAACATATTATCCAGCTAGTTAACAAATGCAAAAAAGTATTAAATATAATGAGGTGTCTGTCTGGAACTGAATGGGGAGCGAGTAGAAATGCGTTAAGAAACATATATGTAGCATTGGTTCGATCAGTATTAGACTATGGGTGTTTCATATATGGAAGAGCTTCTAAGTCTAATCTGCAAAAAATAGAAGTTATACAAGCCCAGGCATTAAGAATATGTTGTGGAGCTTATAAAACTACTCCAATCTCAGCACTTCATGTAGAAATGGGAGAAATACCACTGGAGCTAAGAAGGAAACAAATAATGATGAATTATTGGATAAATCTACAAGGGCAGAAAATAAATAGTAATCCAGCAAAAAGAGTTCTTATTCCAAGATGGGAATATGAAAAAAACAAAACTCTCTTTTTTGGAAGAGATAGCATGGAAGTAGCTAAAGAGATGGAATTAATTGATAAAGGCTTTAACAAAACAGTACCAATAGCAACAACACCACCATGGTTATATCCATTAGGATTAGTTGATTTGGAATTACTTAGCAATAGCCAGGACTATAGAAACATCGCTAATATGTCTGGAATAATTGAAGATAAAATTATGACAAAATATAAAGAATATACAGAAGTATACACAGATGGGTCAGTAAATTTGGATTTGGGCAGAACAGGGTTTGGTGTATTTGTACCAAAATTAGACATATCAATTAAGAAAAGAACAACCAATTACCTAACAATATATACAGTAGAACTGATGGCTATAATTGCTGCGCTTTATTGGATAGAGGAAAGTGGATTAAAGAAAGTAGTTATATGTTCAGATTCCTATTCAGCATTAAGTTCAATCAAGTCAATGACATCAAAGAACAGACAGGATTGCATATATGAAATATATGAAATTTTATTTAGACTTCAGAGAGCAAATATTAGAATAGTATTTTTGTGGATTCCAGCACATATAGGAATTAAAGGAAATGAAACAGCAGATTTTTTAGCTAAGGAAGCATGCAAACTAGACGAAATTATGAATATCTTGTTAAGTAAAACAGAAGCAAAAGTTATAGTGAAGAAGAATATATTAAAACAGTGGCAGTATAATTGGGATAGGGATATAACGGGTAGACATTACTATAGATTACAAGAGAAAGTAGGAAATTGGAGGAAAGGTAAAGGAAATAATAAAATAGAAGGAATAATAACACGGTTAAAAATGGGACACACAGGCTTAAATAAAACATTACATTTAATAGGAAAACATCCAACTGGATTGTGTGATGATTGTCAGGAGGAGGAATCAGTTGAACATGTTTTATGTTGCTGCAAGAAATTCATAATAGAAAGAGAAATATTAAAGAAAGAAATTATAAAACAAAACTTTTCAGAAATCAGCGTAAAAATTATACTTGGAAACGATAACAATGAAAGTTTAGTGAAATATCTAAGGAATACAGGATTAATTAACAGGATTTAAAAGAATAAAGATGTAGGTAAAAAATTTTTTTTTTTTTTTTCCCTCCGGGAGGTAGCAAACTCAGGCTCACACTCCAGTACAGTAGGTGGCGGTAATGCACCAAAAGTTGGATGCCGACTGCCATAAAACAGCAAAGAAGAAGAAGAAGAAGAATTTAGAAAAAGTCTGTAAAATAACAGTGTTTCTCTGTAAACATTTTAATAAAAATATCTGTAGATTTATTACTTTTTGAACTTTTTTTCAACAAAGAAATTTTACCTTAATTTTATGGTTTTTGTTTGGCGGCCGTAGCTGCCAGTCATTTAACTTTTTTTTTTTTTTTTTTTTTTTACAGAATAAGTAATTACAATTTATTACTTTAATTTTACGGAATTTTAAATGTACTTAAAAAACAGGAAAAAAACACTGTAAATAATACATAAATTTTTTTGTAAAAAACAGACAAATTGCTGTAATTTGTCATTACTTATAGTACATAAAATAACAGTCAAGCCGTTAACTTACAGATAATGTTTGTAATTTTTACCAACTTTTGAATATAATTTAAAATAACAGAAAAAATACTGTATAAATAATACTGTAATTTCCCTCTATAAAAAACACAAATGTCAGTAATTTGTCTTTAATAATAAAGTACCTAAAATAAAAGTCAAACGGTTAATTTAGAGAGATTGGTTGTCATTTTACTAAGTTTTGAATATAATGTGAAATGACAAAAAATTACTGTAAAAAATTTAAGGATATTTTCTGTAAAAAAATTTTTTTACAGTGTACACACACATTTTGCTCTCTTCTCTTCACTCTGTTCTTCTGACTTGTCTGTCACTCTACTGAATGTTGGTGAGGGAATGCAGGTATTGCGCAATCACTCATTTCTGCAAACGTATCGAGCGTTTTATTGTAACATGAGAGCGCAGTCATGTACATTAATCATAAAAACAGATATGCGAGCTCTTAAATAGGCTTTTTCAAATTAACTGCAAGTCCTCTCATCATCTCGTGTGTGTGCTCAGACTGTATACAATTGCGATCTCCTCAATATTAAAGTAGAAATTATTTATCTTTGCTCCTTGACTAAAAAAAGTATTTGGATTACAGACTTTTCATTAGGCTGTATCATCAAGTAAACCTTACTTTGAGCAAAGTTGGGACTTTTTATATTTCTTTACGACAAAAGAATTATGCTAGAAATGTTTCTGTTTGAGGTATTTGTGGGATTTATACACAGCAGCTGTATTCTGATCTGTCTTAAAGCATCACTGAATTGTACAGGCATTACAGGTCAAAGCAATCTGCTGTTACATTTAACATGATAAACAATAAGGCTCTTCAAACACTGCTTTAAGAAAAGCAGTGTTGTCATATTTCAAATACCTAGAGTTAAACAAAGTCATTTGCTTTATTATTTTATTACTGACAGTGTACTTGTCTTTTTTTGTAAAATTATTTCAGTTTAAGATCAAGTGTAAAATAATATTTCCATGTGCTGTACAGCTATTTAAGAAACAAATTTGCCATATTGTAAAGACGATGAGCAAATAAGAAAAATAGTGTAAAATATGTAAATAAAAGGCTAAATTTAAATCTTTTAATCCTATATTTTAATTAAACCTTTCAAATAGGGGTGTCAAAATTAATTGTTTCTTCGATGCACACGCGGACAGTTCGGTATCGGTTCTGTAATAATCATAACCGATTATTGTGTACTGACGTCATTTATCTCATATGCGTTCTGTCGCGAGGGAGGCGAGCGCGAGTATTTACAACACTCTAACTACTTAAAACTCAAACTGTGCACAATTTCACTGCGTGTGTGTTCGCTGGACAGCTGACATTTATAACAAAAGCCCCTATTTCACTGCGACTGAGAGAATGAAAGTACTCCATTTCTCTTTCTCTCTCTCTCTTACACACACACACTGACACACACACTGACACACACACACACACAAACTCACTCACTCACTCACTTGCACATCTCCAGTCAACATACAGTGGTGTTTTCTTTCTAAATTAATTGACTTTTCTTATTCCCAATACTTTTACTCAGTTGGTGACAGTTCTAGTTACTTGTTCAAAGAATTATTTCATTAAACCAAATGATTTAATATTTTCTTATTAATCATAAGTAAATGAATGAATAAATGGATAATAAATAATGGAATAATTGTATAATTTATTCATTTTGGTTTAGTTTTAAACGTGTATCAATTTCTTTATTTTGGTTAGTTTGTAACCAAACTGTTTTAGAGTATCCAAATACCAATTTAGAGACCTCTGGGGAAAAAAAATATTTGTAGTTAATTCTATGTTGAATAGAAAAAATCATTTATATCTCTTTTTCTAAAATGTATACTTGATGTTTTTGTATTTAACAATTATGAGTGAAACTTTTGTATTTTGAGCAGTTTCTCAGTAAAATTCAAGATGGATACACAGACAGACAGACAGACAGACAGACAGACTGACTGACTGACAGACAGACAGACAGACAGACAGACAGACAGACAGACTGACTGACTGACTGACTGACTGACTGACAGACAGACTGACTGACTGATAGTTTGATAGATAGACAGAGATAACAAAAGTACACACATCCTTTAAAGAAGTACAGCCTCAAAAATGTAATAAATTAAAAAGTACCCGTTTCAACCTCAGTCCCAAAGACACGCGGTATAGATGAATAATAATTCAACTGAACTGGCAGTGTATAAGTGTGTGTGTGAATGTGAGTGAGTATAGGTGTTTCCTAGTACTGGGTTGCAGATGAAATGGTATCCACTGTTTAAAACTAATTCTGGAATAATTATATTTTTATTCATAAATTGCCCAGCATACTTACATTTTGTTTTTGAAAAAAAATTGTTAATAGGAAAATTTAATAAAACTTATCAGAAATAAAGGAAATAAACCACAATGCATAATTTTTTTATAAAGTATTTGATTGTTTTAGTATTAAATGTACAAATCTTTACAAAAAAGCACTATATTTCGTGGTATTACAATGAAAGACAAGAGAAAGCCTGTTCAGAATGATCAGAAGTGGACAAAAGACTTAAGCATTAAACCGCATGCTTTTAAACTGGAACGTGTCTCTCTTGTCTACCTGTGATCTGAACGAGCAAAATGTGTTTTATTATCATGTAAACAGGGCAGCATCAGTCATGTTAGATTTAACGTCTCCCTCTGTCACATCTGCGTAGTCATCCTAGCCTTTCTCATTGTAATCTTCATTAACTAAACCATGTACAGTGCGCAATAGCCTTGAAAAGGCCACGCAGTGCAGCACACAGGTGCACAATGAGGAAATATGGACTGACTGCATCAAAACTGTTCATATTGCGCAATGACACGAAATAATATTGATCGCGCCACCAAACACATGAAAATAAAAGTAACGTGCGTGAATTAAAAAATGTAAGGAGCAGAAAGTACAGATATTTGTGTAAAAATGTAAGTAAAAAGTAGTCAAAGAAATAAGTAGTGGAGTAAAGTACTGATACTAGAAAAATCTACTTAAGTACAGTAACAAAGTATTTGTACTTCCCATCTCTGTAGATATATCAGCATAACAATCAATATTACATTCGCTTCAACAAAAAACACCTCAACAAAACATTCATACTACTTCAATTGCATAGAGCAGGGGTGGCCAACACTGTTCCTGGAGATCTACCTTCCTGCAGAGTTCAGTTGCAACCCATATCAAACACACCTGCCTGTAATTATCACGTGGTGTTCAGGTCCTAATTAATTTGTTCAGGTGTGTTTGATATGGGTAGCAACTGAAATCTGCAAGAAGGTAGATCTCCAGGAACAGGGTTGGCCACCCCTGGCATAGAGTGTGACAAAAGAAATGCTGTTAATTTGCAATGCATTGAATTAATTTATCAGTACATGCTGTAATGAATCAGATTAAATGTGTGTTATGGATATTAAAAGATATCCACAGGCCTGACTAAAAAGAAATTGCTCATAAATTTTGGTCATAAAATGTGCAGACACTGGTTAATAATCAATCGTATTAGCTCACGTGTGTTTGTGCACACTGTTACATGGATTACATTTTTTCGTATTTCCCTGTGCACACACTCCTGTGTTTGCACTGAAGTGAGTCTTTTATTATCTTTAAATTCTCTTTTTCCCCTCCTCAGTATAATCGAAGAGCTAAGGATGCGAGACCCGTCCTTCCCTGATGTTTCTCATGGAGTTCTCATCCACCGTGTGATTGTAGGATCTCCAGCCAACAGATGTGCTGCTCTCTGAACATGATGTTATCAGCTGTTGATTAAGGCATCCTATTGATGATGTCATTTCCTGTTTTCTGTTTTGCAGAGCCGGAATGAAGCCAGGAGATGTTATTATTGAGATCAATGGGGTAAAGGTGAACACGTCGGAGGAGATATATAATGCTGTGAGGACCAGCGAAAGCTTAAATGTGGTGGTCCGCCAGGGGGCCGACCTGCTCATGCTGCACATGACCCCAGAGTCCACAGAGCGACATCAAGTCAAGTTTTTAGTAAGATTAAGAAATGGTGAGTAATGAGAAGCTGTCATAGTTGGAGCTGTTGTAAGAAAGGAATCATCTAAAGAGTTGAACAGTTTTAGCAAACGCTGGACATTCGTGTAGTAAACGTGTTTCTGAAAGCGTATGAAATAATGTGGATGATTCAGACTTCTGTACACTGGATAAACCTCAGTGTGTCTGCGCAAACTACACTATCAGTATTGATTTGAAGGAATATCACTGAATATTTTGTTTAGGATTGTCATGATGGCAACAAACACTCAAAGACCTTAATAAAACTGGGTGCTCTTATTGTGAAAATGCTGATGTTTTGTATTGAGTCTCACATTCTCATGTTACGACGTTTGTATTTTAATACATTTTTCTGAACAGCTCTGATTTCACAATAAACCATTGGAATATTTATGGATGATTTGCTTATGTCGCAGTGACTGATATGTTTAGGTTTTGGGTCAGCGCTGTACAGCATTCTGAAAAAGTGTATTTCTAAAAGTGCACCGTAATGACGCCAGTGTCAACTGCAGTGTGTGTTGGAAAGGACTGGATGCTGTTCAAACCTCATGCCAAATTTTTGTCACCCCATACAAAACCAGTTTAAATCCACACAATCTGACAACACTGGGGCTAGATCACAATATAAGCCACAACACAAGTGAGTTCAATAAAATATATCTTTATTACAGACATGTAGAAAAATCAAATATACAAAACATTCTGCTAATGTGACTCAGAACTCCAGCATGGACCAGTCGTGGTAAGGCATCTCTTCTAGAGGAATTCTGCACTCTGGATTCTCATGCAGACAAGCCCTCATCATATCACAGCATTCTGTGAAGAAGAAATGGAGAGGTGAGGTTATTGTTATTATTATTATTATTAAGCTGTTTCACTTAATTGTTCTTTGATGAACATCTCACCTTGAGAGAGGGTAAATTTGGACCAGTCATGTTGGAGGTAGTACAGGTCATACGCTGATGGGAATTCTCCATGGAGCATTGTGAACAGAAGAACCCCAAGAGAATAGACCGTCGCTGGTTTGGCCCGGTAGCATCCTTTTTCATAAAACTCTGGCGGGATGTACGCTTCTGTGCCTGGAGGAGAGACGTTTAGTTTAGCATCATGTTGAATATATATACCAGATGGGCTTCAGCTGTGCTAATTAACCAGCTTTCAATACGTATATTAATAATGCTTATGCATATTCATAACTAGTGTTGTCAAAAGTATCAACTACCAATCGATACCGACACTCATCACAGTCATATTTGCTGAGCATGTGAACACCAATGGCCAATCAGTGGTGTTTAACAGCGCTCAAATTGACTTGTTAAATGTCAGAATCGATTGGTACCGAAGTCGATACTTTTGACCACACTATTCAAAACACCTACCAGAGAAGAGACTGTAGGCTGATTCCATCATGAAGTCTCCACACCCGAAGTCGATCAGCTTGACTTCCAGTGTGTCGGGGTTCACCAGCAGGTTTTGAAGCTTAATATCCCGGTGGAACACCCCGCGGTAACAGCACACGTTGGCCGCATAAACAGCTTGCCTCATGATGGTATGTGCTGTTTTCTCACTGAGGACTCCTCCGCTGACTTCAAGGAATGCCTCCAGGTCCATGCTTGGACTAGGCCGCTCCATCACCATGACATAATGGTTTTCAAAGACCTGCCAGTCCAGAAGCTTAATAATGTTCGCACACCTGGAGCCACCGCTGGCCATGTTTGCCAAGGTGATCTCTAGAGGAAGTGGCTGGTCACATGACTGAAAACAAAATAATAATGTTGGTTTTCAAACAAGGGTTTCTGACCACAGCCTGTGGTCTATAATAAATATAAGACTTTATAAACTGAACACAGCGAACAGAAAGTGTAGTCTACTCACAGAGCTGACATCTTGCATATTTGGGGTCTTCTGGACAAATTTAACTGCCACCTGTTTAAAGGAACAAGCGAACAATTAACATGTGCACGGAGATCATTTCATTCAGTCATAAATCCTGAACAGAGGATTCATTCGTCAGCAAAAATGTCCAAACAATGAAAGCTCTGATGATGTTCTTTAAACAGGGAACTTCATCAGAGGATTTGAGTCTACAAAAATGAATACCTGCAGACCATCCTGTATGCGAATCCCCTCATACACGGAGCCGAAACCTCCTTCACCAAGCTGCTTTCCGAGTTTGTAGCGGCAGCTGATGTCATCTGTTAAAAATGAAGAAAATGTCATTAAATTATAAACCAAATAAAAACACAAACAGTTGAAGTCAGAATTATTGTCAGATTTCAGAACATGATAGTTTTAATAACTCATTTCTAATAACTGATGTCTTTTATCTTTGTCGTGATGACAGTACATCATATTTACTGGATATTTTCAAGATACCAGTGTTCAGCTTAAAGTTCTGAATACTTAAACTTTATTGCTCTGCATCATTTGGGAAATATTTAAAAAATATTAATAAAAAATCACAGGAGGGCAAATAATTTTGACTTCAACTGTATAATTTTACAAAGTTTGATGAGCCTAAACAAATGTTCTGAACTCCAGCAATAAACTTACTATTGTCCAAGCAGGTCCCATCATCTGCTGTAGACTCCACAGCAGAGTCCTCTTGTGAGACCTGATCCGGTGAAGGGTTCGAGTTTTCATCCAGGGCAGAGTCACAGATGTCATCTGTTATGAGCTGCTGGCTCACTGGAAGTTCATTGTCCTCATCGGATGGTGAACTTGGAGGACTATCAAGCTCTTGCTCCAGGCTGTCCTCACTGAGGGAGGATTCGTTGTCTGCTGGGAAGTGAAGCTCTGCAGAGTCGTTCTCAATGACCACTGCAGAGTCAAAGCTGTTCACTTCCGGTTTAGAGTCCAAATCTTCGTCTGCTGGAGCATCAAGAGCTGGAGGTTGGCGAACTTCCAGCTCCAGGTTGCTCACAGCAGTGCAGAAGAATTTAGAGCTACTGATGGGCTCTGCGTGAAGTTCGTGGATCTCCTGCACACATAGCTGATCTAAAGAGAGGAAGGAACATCATTAATATGACTCTACAACTCTTTTTGACAAGATATTTGAACAGTTCATTTGCAGAAACATTACTCAATGTGTTTTTATTGATGATCTTCATGGGTTTTCTGCATTAAATTAGCAAACAAGTAAACTATATATCTTAAGGCAAAGCTCACTGAAATAAAAAATCCTAATACAAATAATTCTTATTTTTTCTGTTTTTTACACAAAACTACAAATTCTGAAGAAAATTCCTGAAATCAGCAGCCATTAACCTTCATTGTAGGAACACAAAATACTGTGGAAGTCAATGGCTGAAAGCACCTCAAACAGGTTTAAGGAGTAAATTATGACAGAATTGTCTTGTTTATGTGAACTGTGGCTTTAAGAAACTCTTTCTAAAATGTCTTCCAGTTAATGTTCATTTCTGATCTTTAAACACTTATGTGATGTGTTTGGTGTGTTTAACAGTATGCTTTAGTAATTAAAAGTGCTCATAAATCTATTTTACCAACAACAGTAGCTCTTCTTCTGGAAAAACAGGTGAAGAAGATGGGAGACAATTTGAGTTTCCTCTTTTTCTGTCTCCCTGCCTGTTTTCCTGCAGCGACGGCCGGGTCATCGGTCATCAGATGACGGTGATTCTCTGTCGTGCTGCCGGTGGGTTCGAGTGGCTCACACGGTTGTTCGTTCGCACACTTAACACCAAACGCTTTCTTCAGACGGTTAATCAGTTTTGAAAATGCCATTTTATCACTGTACTGTTGAATCGCAGAAAGTACTGAACTACTAGACATCCAAAGAAGCTAATGAGAGTTTCTGCTACGTCAAAAGCTTTTTACTGTCACCGATGATGTCAGAGTTCCACAGTTCCATTTGGTATGACGTAGAGACTTTTTAAAACACAACAAACTTCTAATGCAGGCCCGCGCTAGACTGACTGGCTCATTCGCCTTAATGTGCTCACACAGCCACCTGCTTATACACATTTTTTCCAATTATTCATTAATTTATTTTTGCACTTAGACCTATGTATTTTTTTTTTCTGTCATGCACAACTTTTTCTGCGTTTTGCTCTTTATTACAAATATTGCCATGTTTATATATATTTATACGCGCGCGTGTGTGTGTGTGTGTGTGTGTGTGTGTGTGTGTGTGTGTGTGTGTGTGTGTGTGTGTGTGTGTGTGAGGTTCATTTATTTTGAGTAGCTCATTTCAGTTATTTTATATTTTCATTATCAATTGTTTATCGTTTTTAACAGTATTATTATTATCGTTTATATTATATTTTATATATTATGATTATATAAATTCGTTATTCTTGTGAATTCTTTTTAAATGAATAATGCTTCAAATAATAAATTAAAAAGAAAAATATGCAACAAAATAGAGTTATCCATATTACCTGAAACCGCCAGTAGGTGGTGGTAGGACACTGTCTTAAGTGAATAAGACATTTATTCAGCAACAAAGCAACTGTTGTATTTATGAAAAGGTCAAGGATGAATCGACTCTCACAATTTATTTAAATCCACAGATTCATTCACAAAAAATAACCCGCTCTAGCCTAAATAAGGACTGAACAGATGTGAACGCTAACAGGTAGGAATAATGATCAAATTCTTGTGGATTAAATGTCTTTGTTGACATCAATTGCAGTAGATTTTATTAAGTTACAACAAAAGGTAGGAAATGGTTTTAATTGCGAACTGTACTTATTTATTGTGTGAACATGCTACATGCTAACACCGTCACAGCATTCCAGTCAACTAATTTAGAGCTACTAACGTTAGTCAACAGTCCCCGCCTTCACTAAGTGAAAAATGCGAAATAAAACGAAAAAATAACATAAATAAAATAAACAATTACAAATTAAACCAATGAATATGTAAGTCAGTGTAATTAGATCTAACGTCTATTACTGTATGTCACACAGGCTAGTTAGCTAGCGCTAATTAGCATTTGATGCTAATGCTAACATTGATGCAACTTAATGTAACTGTAATGTAATTAATGTTATATTAACGCTACTGTAACGTTAAACTAATTATTGTTTTACTTAAAAGCTCAATCAAACCTTTAATGTTAACATCAGTCAGATTGATTGCTAATTGAGTGATTCTGTTAATATTACATTTGTTTACCTTAATATTACACTAGATAACCTTAGGAACTATACAGGGAGAGGAATTATTTAGTTTTATATTACAGAAACTCGATATTTCTTTTCTATATTTTTGTTAGGCCACAGTTTGAAATGCCATTCTGCAGGCTGAAATGGCATATTTAACACAATTAACCATGGCTTTACTACAATAATACAGTCAGGTTTATTTTGTGTGGATAATTGTAAGCTTACTTTAGTAAAACTATGTTTTTGTCTTATTGGCTAAATGGGCTCATGAAAGTGTTTCACATAGAAATGAATAAATAATAATTAATAATAGTAATTCCTTACATTTATATAGCAATTTTTCTGCACACTCAAAGTGCTTTACATATTGGGGGTAAAATGTTTCCCGAAAGACATTTTGAAATGGAAACAATATTTTTCTTTCCCATTTATATCTTTCCCTCTGACCTAGTTTGGTGGCTTCTGAAAATAGTTATAAAGAGAAAGGCAAATGCACTGAACATTCTTATATTAAGCAATGTGATAACTTATTCATTACTTAAAATCAATTCACAGTTAAATACTCATTCAAATGATCAAATAATTATATTTAATAAAAATTATGAGAAACAAGATGATGAGAAAAGGATAAACGTTGATCCATGATGAGACGGAATGGAAAGCAGAAATCCGAATCCTTCAGACACGACCATTTTAATTTCTCCGCTGGCCAAAAGTTAGTGTAGAGCTGCAGTCTCAGCGGTGAAGGCTGGAAGCTGGCCTCAGCGAAGACTAGTCTGTCCCTGGAGCGTCACTGGAATCAGTCTCATGCTCTCCACTCCCCCATGAATACGGCTCAGGATACGGCCTGGTCCCGGATATTGACACCTTGGGATCATCTTGTCGCTGGTCTTGGATCCAATCAGTGACTCAGCAAATTCTGAAGACCTCGGGATGAGTATCCCCAGGTGGAAATGGAGAAAAAAAAAGAGAATAATTACCGTAGCTGCTGTTCATAATAAACAAGATGTAGAAACTTGGCTAAGCGATGCATTGAGTGTATGCTTTACTAAACAGATAGGTCTTTAATCTAGTTTTGAACTGAGAGAGTGTGTCTGAGCCTCGAATGTTATCAGGAAGGCTATTCCAGAGTGTAGGAGCCATAAAGGAGAAGGCTCGACCTCCTTTGCTCGACTTTGCTATTCTAGATACTACCAGAAGCCAGAAGAGGAGTTTTGAGATCTTAAAGAGCGAGTTGGATTGGAGCCAGTGGCGTAGCGTACGGGCCCGCAGGGCACGCACCGCGGGGGGACCCCGTGTGATTAGGGGGCCCCACGTCGTCGCGATTTTCAATAATTGAAAATCCAGGAACTGCAATAATCAAACTCTTGGGAACAACTGTGGACGGAACCAAAGTTCACAGGTCTGTGTTCTCTGAACACCTCTCAAGCGGTGGACTACTTCATTCTGATTGCTTGCCGCCGAACCGCGTCATAGCCAATGAAGACGCGCCGCTGTTTCTCGCCGCCGGTTCTCGTTAAATAATGAATGACTTCTGGCTACTTTGACGCTCTCGCCGCTTTCGGTTTGTGATCGCTTCTCAGTTTGTGAAGGATTCCCCGCGTTGTCACTCCACTCCGCCTCCTTTCTCCGCACCTCAATTTGTGACATAGATATATATACTAGATATTGTATAGGGACCCTGAGCATGCGTCCATAGCGCTGCCACATTTGTACAGTGCTCCCAGGACAAATGTCATTCAACCGCACTAGTCAAGTGTTATTACAAAGCACAAAGGCAGAACATATAATAGGTAAGATTAAGTTTTTTATGTTTTTATATGTTCTGAAATGTGTGCTAAACAGTTAGCGTTATTGATGATAATACAGTCACTTACTGCATTCAGCATAAGGCAAAGTAGCTCCAATTCGCACTAAATACTCGGCTTATGCTAGCTTTGTTGAATAAAAAAAATTTCAAAAAAATAATAATACTAACATCCAGGAAAACTCCCGATCATAGATATATGTGTATATCTCTGGCTCTGCCGCCACCCCCCCCCAACCCCTTTGAAAACTGGGGTCCCCATTGGTGATCCCTGCAGGGGGTCCTCCGCATTTTGCGCTACACAAAAGGAAAAAGGATAAAATTGGGGTGATATGATCATATTTTCTAGACCTGGTAAGAACTCTGGCAGGTGCATTTTGTACTAATTGAAGTTTGTTAAAATAGGATGCTGGGCAGCCAGCAAATAGAGCATTACAGTAATCCAGCCTAGAAGTCATAAAAGCATGGACTAGCTTTTCTGCATCCAAGATGGATAGCATACTTCATAATTTAGCGATATTTCTCAGATGAAAGAAGGCAGTTTTTGCGACGTGGGATTTATGATTTTCAAAAGTTAAATTGCTGTCTAATATAACACCCAGATCTTTTATAGTAGAGCTAACGCTAACTTTGTGTCCCTCTAATTGTAGATTGAGTTGCGAGAACTGCTGTGTACAGGATTTAGGCCCAATAAGTAATAATTCTGTTTTGTCTGAGTTTAATAGAAGAAAATTTTTGGTCATCCAGTCTTTAACATCTCTAATACACTCAGTTAGCTTAGACAGTTCAGACATCTCATTAGGTTTAGTTGAAATATATAATTGAGTATCATCTGCATAGCAGTGAAAGCTTATCCCATGTCTTCTAATAATGTCTCCCAGTGGTAGCATGTAAATTGTAAACAGCAAAGGGCCTAAAACTGATCCTTGAGGCACCTCATACTTTAATGGGCTGACTTGTGAAGGCTGTCCATTAATATTCACATACTGGTAACGGTCAGTTAAGTATGACTTAAACCATTGTAGAGCTTGTCCCTGGACACCTGTAGACTTTAAGCGATTTATGAGGATATTGTGGTCAATGGTGTCAAATGCCGCTCTAAGATCGAGTAGAGCTAATAGAGAGATGCACCCTTGGTCAGCAGCTAAGAGTAAATCGTTGGTTATTTTCACTAAGGCGGTTTCTGTACTGTGATGAGCCCTGAAACCTGACTGAAACACTTCAAAAATATTGTTCGTCTGCAGAAAGGAGCATAATTGAGTAGAAACAACTTTTTCTAGTATTTTAGACAGAAATGGAAGATTTGAAATAGGCCTATAGTTAGCTAAGTTGTTGGGGTCCAGTTGCGGTTTCTTAATAAGAGGCTTAATAACAGCTAGCTTGTAAGAGTTTGGAACATGGCCTATAGATAAAGAAGAGTTGTTAATGTTAAGAAGAGGTTCTCCTATAGCAGGTAGCAATTATTTCAGTAATTTTGTTGGAATTGAGTCCAGCATACACGTAGCTGCTTTAGAGCTATTTATAATTTTATCTAGCTCTTCCTGTTCTATGATTTTGAAGCACTGTAGGTTATTATGATTCAGTGAAATATTTACGGGATTTGGAGTATAAGCCGGTGCAGAAAGTTTAATATCTCCTATTTTTTGTCTAAAGTCTTCTATTTTATCACTGAAAAAATTTATGAAGTATTCACTACTAATTTGTGGTGGAACATTTTAAAAAACTTTCTCCAAGACTTATTTTTCCTGTTAATATAAATAATCAGTGGAGAAATGCATTTAGTTTTGGTTCATTTCGACCTGAAACGAGGAGTTTATTGCTGTTTCTGAATCATGTAGCGCTGTGTCTGTTAGATCAGCAGATCGCATTCACAACACTGGAACTGAGTGGGTTATTACCTGCTCTTCACACACAAAGTAGGCCCACCTGAAATGTAAAACTAGAAAAGGCTCAATAATACATTGGACAGATCCTTAACGCACTGATTTCTTCCCTTTTTACTGCTGTTTTGGATTGGAAGTGTCTGCAGATAGCGGAGGACTGTGCGC